CGCAAGGAACAACAGAGGAAGGCCAACACGATGGAACTTGTACTTTGGTATTCCGAGGCAGTCTATGAGTATGTTGCAGGTCGACCGCCACCGCCTGGGCACTTCCACGCCGCCCACGTTTCTGCCGCGTCCGCGTCATTGCGTACGTCCCAGAAGCATTTGGAAGTGTGGACCCTCGAGGATGGCTTTGAGAGTATTTCCGCCCATGCCGGGAGTGGTGAAAGCAGAGTCGCCGAGGGTTTGGACATTGACATTGCTTGTTGCTTGCGTGGGAAGGACGAGTACCGTCAAGAGGGAGAGGGTTCCATTGCGGCTGAGACTTTTGCCCTCAAGGTTCAGATAGAACGTGCTGGACGGTGGGGTCGAGGAGAGGAAGACCCGAGATATGTCGAAGGGAGTTTGCTGCTGTCCCAGAACGCAACTCAGTGTGGAGTTGATGTATCTTATCCTGTCTGGAGGGCAATTTTGTTGCCAAAGTTCAGATTCAAATGCTTGGTGTTAAAATCGAACTGGTTTGGGTCAGATGTTAGGGGCTTGGCAAACCGGCAATGTCAGCCCTACCGACAATAATAAACGCTGCCGGTATTCAACATATCGAGATGACATTCATCTGAAATCGTCCGAGAAAATATCATAGTTTGAAGTTGTGATACGCGAGTTGGCCTTTGAGCTTCGGGTACAGTAGTATTCTGAGCTGTGGTTGCCTTGTCGTTCTCAACGCCGGCGTTGTCACTTGTGTGATCTCCGCTTTCCCACTTCTGGACCCACTTCCCGATTCTTGCTGTTGTATTTCGTGCAATCAGACATGCACTCCTTATCCCTCCTTCTTACACAGAAGTTGTCGGAGGGCTGGAAAAGGCGACAACGAAAAAGGGCTTGATTGTTGTTGTTTTGCGGAAGAGGAGAAACGGAAACCAGGGCAGCCTAAATACCTAGAAGGGAGTGCCCCAGGGCACGGACTTCCAACAGAAGTCCTCACAACTATGATAAGCGTCGTAGCACTGAGCGGCTCGAATACCTCTCAATGAGCATTCGGGTTGACCTGTTTAGAAAGCTGCAGGCGTTTACTAGCGAAGTTTGGCGTTTGGGCTAGAACGTTCATAGGCAGGCATTAGATTTTACCGAGCGACGACGGGAATGAATGAAGTAGGGCAAGACAAGCAGATGAAGGAGGAGCGACACTTAGAAGTTTGTTAGGTCTCCAGTTTTATTAGTGAGTCCGGACCGACAAAAAGGCTTAGCACCCTTGTCGCTAAATTCTTTGTTTCCCTTTTTTCACGTCAACACCATCTCCCCCTCCGGATGGAAACACACCGGAGGAAACGTGGCTCCCCGACTCGGCAGCATCACTTCGACGCCGGAAAATGTGGACCCTCTCCTTCGAAGCTCACCCGGAGCTCCACTGGCTCACGCACCGACCAGCATACTTAGCCGATCTTTTTATCCTATAGTACTGCGACAACTTGTACCTCCACCTGCTCCGAATACACCTCGTACGGCGGTGGGTTGGCGAACGCACGAGCTACTAGTAATTGAGACTTCGACTCCTACCACGACCGATTCAACCACCACCTGGCCGAGACTTTCCGTATAGGTATGCGTCGCGTCGTCATCAGTGTCATTGTCAAGAACCATTATTTACCGTGGATGAATGAATGGATTTGGCATCTCTAGATGTAAAGGGTACTTACTGCATGCAGTACTGCATAGGCAGAAGGACAATGTGAACGAAACTTATAGTACCTTGTCATCTCATGGGAGCGCGAGAACGAAAGCAAGAACGAACAGACAGACTCAATGATGAAAGGATGCATCGATAGAAGAGAAGGTATGAAGGCAAAGGGAGCCAGAGAACGCCGTTCATTCACCTCTTGCACTCCAAATTTAAATGCATGCATGCATGCATCACCACAGTACAACCAACATCCACGTTCTAGACACATACCTGGGGGTCGTGGTGCGGTGACAAAAGGTGCAGGTTACCTCCCGCCCGCCAACCCCAAAGTACTCAAAAAGAAAAACACATGCAATGCATCCATCAAAAGCCATTACCGACAGACATCCATCCCAACAACGACAAAGGCAAAAAGATACGGGAAGCAGGGAAAGGAAAAAGCAAAAGAAAATTGCCCAATAACAGGATTGAACTGTTGACCTTCGCATGGACTTGATATCTCCGAAGAACAAGATATTAGTACGACGCTCTAACCAGCTGAGCTAATCGGGCTGATGGATTACTAGTTGTTGTAGAGTCGACTCCACAACTCACGTTATATAGTTGAACCCCCTGATTCTGCATGTAATTCAGACACTATGGGGACTCCTAAAAGTTATGCATTAACTAGCATATATGCAGAACAAGGAGCTGGCTTTTGGTGGGAGACAGGGATTTGCGACCACACGCGAGTATGCAGTTAGAGGGCATATTTTGGTGTATATGCAGTTTCTGGAGTAAGCAAAATCAGGGGGTTCGACTGTAATCGAATAACCTGCTGGTGGGGTATTTCCGTCGTCCTAGGTTGGCTGGTTGGCCAGGTTGACTTTGCATTGACCATTACCACTTTTTCTCCCACGGTCAGATCAATCATGTATTGCGATGACTCGGCCTCCTTGTCATGAACCAAATTCCTGGTGCATTCATTAAGAGCTTCCTTTTGTCTTGTACCTCATGCGGGGATGGTCATCGGTGTTTATCGGACCTTGAAAAGGTGAGCTCGACGGCGATGGAAGCGTGAAAGGCCAATCCAGGTTACGAAGAACTGAATCACAATGGAGTGCAAGAGCCAAGAAGTGACCAGGACTGGGTGTGCAAAATGAGTGAGGAAATGCTAGCTTCATGGGCGATTCATCCACCGGGAGTTCGGACTTGGCGTGAGACTCGATGATAGGTAGTGAGAAGAGCAGAGCAGAAGTCAAATAACAGAGGTATCCAGATGGAAGAACTAGGTTTGGTTGTCACACATTATACATTCCAAGCGAGCTGCACGATTACTTAGGTTAGATAAGACGTTTCGAGATGATTGAGCATGAAATATTTATTGCTAATCAACAGCAGAAACTCCTATATATCCAATATACAAGACCAATAAGCTCAGTAATGAAAACTAGGAAAAAAGAAGAAGAGATTGAAACACAAAAAATCAATGGTATCCAACTTCAGACTCCAATCATATCCCCATCAATACCAATTTAGTACTGAATCCACTCTCCCTCAAAGTCAAACTCCAACTCGCTGATCCTCTGATCCTCCGAGCACCAAGCAATAGCCCTCTTGCCACCAACGTCCGCAGCAGCCGCAACCTGGAGAGGTCCAGCACTGCCAAACTTCAGCTGCTTGCCAAGAGCAAAGCTATACCAAGACATGATTTCAGACGAAGCAGAAACAGCGACTCTAGTGGCTCTCATCTCGCCCTCAGGCGTAGCCCACATCACCATCAGTCCAGCGGCTCCGGAGGCGACAGAGCTTTGCACAACGGTGACCTTGGAGTTGGCATGCGCGCCATTCTCCGTGGTGACATCGACAACGGTCCACTGGCCAAGCTCGCCCTCATCGCTGAGAACAGCGTACGCGGCCTGGATAGCACCGACAGGGTTAACCCAGAAGACCCAACACGGTCCTCGTCCTGGTCCCTGGTGGCAGCGGTAGCAATGCCTCCAGTAAAGGAAGCTTTGGCACCCTCGACAGGGACAGGGGTGTAGTGCGGACCAACAAAGGACAAGACGGATCCATCAACGGCAACAGAGAACAGCACAGTTGGTGCGTCGTCCCTGAAAGTAACCTGGAGCGCCTCGAGAGCGGGTCTGCCCTCAGCAGGGAAGCCACCATCAGCGGAGACTGCAGCCTCAGAGACTACGACACCCTCTGTGGTGATTTGCTCGACCTTGTCAGAAGGAAGCCAGCCGTCCTGCTCGGTCCAGAAGGCGCGCCAAATCTTGCCGTCCGGTCCAGCCCAGAACAACTCGATACTACCGCTGCGAGCGACAGCGCTCAGGGCGCCACCGTTGAGAGTAGAATCCATACCATCGCGGAAGGGATAGTCGATGGGGGTGCGCCAGACAAGTCTGTTGTCCTCAAACTGAGTGTCCCAAGGACGGCCGTAGATGCGTCCGTGATCACCGATGTAGAAGAGCTCGAAGGGTGACTTGGCCGAGGGCGCCTCACTGTCAGCACGGCTGCAGACAGTGATGGCGGAGGAGCCATTGGCGAGAGGCGGTTCGGCAGCTGCGGTAACGGGGTAGGTCTTGGGCGGGTCAGTCAGCAGGCCACGGATTTGGATTTGTTCAACCTCGGGATCATGGATGGAGGTAAAGAACTCCATGTGACGCTGGGTCGGACGGTGGAGAGCAACGATGTTGCTCTGGGGAAGGACACGCCAGGTAAGGCAAGAAACCTGCTGGGAAGGAATGGAGACAATCTGTCTGTCTTGCTGGGCGTTAGGAAGGGTAATGTAGAGAAGAGATGCCTGCGAGCGGACAGAGGCGATAGCCACGACGACACTGATGATAAGATGAGTAGCATCAGAAGTCAAGAGAGCTCGGATACTGTCAGCAGAGAACTTGATAGCTGTGTCAGTGGCCAAAGAAGCAGACAGGGTGGAACTCTTGTGCTCTTGCTTGCTGTCCAGGAGCGTGAACAGGTAGGTGCGATCTGTGCCAGGGACAGGAGTCCAGGAAAGCTGAATGCTGCCATCGACAGTGATAGACACCTGGAAGGGAACAAGGCTGAAGGAGCTGTTGAGGTCAGGGAACTTCCAGCGATCGCTGGGAGAGCCAATCACCTGAGCAAAGGAGTGAACGGCCTTGACGGTGATGTATCCAGGGGCCTTGTTGCCAAAGCCAGGGCCAAGGGCTAAAGGCACGACAATTCGAGCACGATGGTCATCAATTGGCTCAAGGGGAGCACGAACATCCTGACGAGCCTGAGTGCCCTCGGGGGTAGCGAAGCTGACAACGACTTCCTGAGCCGCTTGAGTAAGCTGGGTGGGAGCGGTAACATAGAGAACGGTCGACCTGGCACCAATGTCGTAGTAGCTCTCATCGGTGATGGAGAAGACAGTCTCGGGGGTAAGCTTGACAGGCAATCTTGCAGGAAGATAGTATGTCATGGCCGGAGCCTCTGCCGGAACGGCGCGAATGGCAAGGCTGATGGTACCTTCCTCAGAAGGAGCAGGAAGCTTGGTCAATCTCACGACCCGACGGTTATCAGGGGACTGCATAAGCTGCTGGCTGACAGCAGCGGGATTTTTCTTCGCATCCAATTCGACCAGCTCGAAGTCATCAGAGGCAGGTCCAGGCTGCTCCCACTCCACGATAATGGCCTTTCCAAAGCGTCTGGCAACAACCGAGTTGGTGCCCTCAAAGATCTTGACAATAAACTCGCTATTGGGGACCAGAGTCCAGGTGGAGTCACGGTACTTGGACTTGTCGGCCGTAACACGGCGAACAAGGACTTGCAGAGTGCCGTACTTGATGGCGTCGGGGTGGAACTGCCAGACATCAAGAGGGAAGATGAGCTCGCCATCGGTGAAAGTCGTAATCTTCTTGTGCAGGACCGCCAGCTTGTGGGTCTGATAATCAGCAGGAGTGACCGCGACCTCATAAGTACCGGCTGGGGCCTTGGGGAAGCGGACAGTGAAGGCCACAGTCCGGCGGTCGGTCTGCCCAGTGATAATGCTAACGCCCTTGGGAGCATCCAGCTTCTTAGTGTAGACTACCGAACTGGCGTCAGACCAAGGACCGGTGAACTCCTCATCCTCGTAAACGAAGCGAACGCGAACCAAGACCTTGACAGTCGTTCCTGGCACAACAGTAGTTGTCGGGACAGTCCAAGAGAGTAATCTGAGAGACCTCGTCACCCTTGATACCCTGATAGGAGATATCCCAAACCGGAGTGCTCAGAACACCCTGGACTTGAGCCTGGACAGGTGCTGGCAGAACGTGGCTCCAGTCGAGGATGAACTGCTCGTGGCCGTCATCGCCAGCCACAAGAACAAAGCGAGGTGCGCCCCTAATGGCAAGAACACTCTCGATCTTCTGCTTGAGCTGCTTCCTAAGCTCCTCGATACGAGTCTCGCTGCGATGGACCTCATCGATACGTTGCTGGACGGGCTTCTTCTTGTCCAAGGCGTCCTTGAGCAAGTCTCCAAGCTCCTCAAAGCTGGAATCGGCACCAAGTGCGCTAACCAAGGCACCAATAGGGCCCAATGCCTGGTGGTACATGGTCAATCCCTGAGCAAAGTGCTCGCCGGCCTGATCAGCATCAGTCTTTGTGCCGTCAATCTCATCGACAGCTTTATCAAGCTGAGTGTTTGCATTGTCTGCCAAGCTCTGCAAAAGACCGTGTTCCCGCTTGAAGAGATCAAAAGCATGCTGAAGAGCAGTACTCTTGATTCCGCGGGAGATGAGCAACTTGATAATTTGAGGTCCAAGGTGATCAGGCGACATGGCGTCAGGATTCTTTCGAAAACATCAGGGCGATCCAGAATAACCTTTCCAATATCGGCAGTGTGTTGATGAACAACGGTAATCAGAATCTGAGTGATCTGGCTGAGAGTGAATGAGGTAACAGAAACGGGCACGTCGGGGAGGTCGAATGTCAGGACATCGTCCGAATCAGGGATGGTAATGTCAGCGATAGTCCGGTTTGGTTCCAGGAACGAACCCAGTTATTCGTTACCTTATCCATTGATGGACATCCCAGATGCGGCATCTGGGAGCCTTCCTTTCCCAAAATGACAAATATCACGATGCGGCTGGAGCAGGTCGCCACCGGAAGACCGCAGCCCCGTCGACAGGGGTGGAACTAAGAAGTCTGGAGAGGGGATGGAGGATGAACATCGACGGCTCAACTTTTGGATCTGAGAACTTGGAATTCGGCCGAACTTTGCGGAGGCTGTCCTGATTAGAAGCAGTGGTCGGAGGGGTGTGGGATGGTTACGTACTGTCGACGGAGAGCACTTCATGCCAGGCATGTATGTGATTGAGGATGGTGCACATTGAACCGTGGCCTTTGGTTGTGGAAACTCATTGACACCCGGCCGCTGATGTTCGATTGTCGAGGTTTGCGGTTGAAGTTTCTATCTTGTCCAAAAAAATTCTTTCGTCAGTCCAGATTGCTGCCATGGCTGGAAGGTGCAGTGCTGCTGGGTGGCAGGCGCGAGTCTTTCATGAGAGCGGGGAAGATCACGATCCGTTTGTCTCTTTCCTGTCCCACATCTGCATGGCGGGGACTGTATTTGCCAAATGCACACATTAGCATCACCTGCAGCAATCCAAACAAACCGAACCAACTGCACCTAGAGGTTAGGTAGACCAAGCAGGAAAGGCCTTTTCACCCGGACTGCACGTGCCTGCTTCCAGTCCACGTTGAAGACAATTGAAGTCCACATCGTCAATCCTCTACTTACCCAGTCAGCTCAGTCCGACTCCTTGGCCGTGGGAGATCGAGACATGGTGAACTCTGCCTCAATCGCTCCTCCATGCTGCTCATCTTTCCCTCTTCAACATCAACCACCACCACTGCCGACACGAAGGCGCAAAGAAATAATTAGGGTATTCATTAGCCAAGGTCTGCTAACATGAAAGGCCATCATTCATCGTTCGCCTTATTATATATACATACCAACCCATCATGTCGTTCATCGCGCCCCTGTCGTTCAAAGCCCCGCCTGCTGGTCCCTAGGCCTTTACATCATGACATCCGAACGATGCGACATCCTTTTCCGTCGTAGAAAACGTAACAACATTATGTCCCTGCTGGAGAGACCCCTTGTGTGGGATTTGGCTGGCGTGGGAAACTAGGTCCCGTCTTCTTTGTGGTCATGGGTGTCCAGTGTCCGTCCTGATTGAGCCGGTAGTGCTCCGAAAACGCTGAGAGGTTTTACCCTCGTAAGTCCAAGCCTGGCCTCTCCACAACAGAAACAAGTTGATTGCCAGGCTCAAAGAGCGAATAAGCAAGGCAGGAGAACATCAGAACCATTCCTAAGATTTGTTGTCCTTTGCCGCCTTCTCGCCCCCTTTGCCTGCATTCTTCTCCTTGGCTGCCTTTTCCTTGGCCGCCTTCGCCTCCTCTTCTTCTTTCTTCCTCTTGTCTTCTTCCTCTTTCTTCTTGCGGTCCTCTTCTTCCTTCTTTTTGCGGTCCTCTTCCTCCTTCTTCCGCTGTTCCTCGCGTTCCTTTTCTTTTCGTTCTTTCTCGGCGAGAATGCTCTTCTGTTCGACTTCCGAGAGCTTGCTCCAAGCGGCCACGTTCTCGTCCCCTGTGTAACTTGTCAGTTGAACCGGTCGGGAAATCAGAATTCTGGAGGAAGCAGTTGGGACTTACATTTCTTAACACACTCGTCAACCCAGTTGCACTGTTCGACCTCACCATATGCCGGGTGCTTATATCTCGGGTGGCGGCTGGGCCAGTTCGAAGCGTGGTAGTGGTGCTTTACGAGGGCAGCACGCGCGTCATGGTTGCCCGAGTTGGAGTGGCCCTGGCCAGCAGCAAAGGCCTCAACGGTCAAGACCAGAACACGGCTCACAAGCTTAGATTCTCCCAAATCGTGGAAAGCGTCCCAGGTGATCGGCCTACCGGTGTTGTCGTTGAGCTCGTTCATCTCGGCGATGATGGCGTTGGTAAAAGCTGATGGGCCCGTTCCGCTGATAATCTGATCGAAATCCAGCTTGACTTCGGCAAGCGGCACTCCTTGCTCCTTAGCAACTCCGCTCAACCAGGTCATGATTTGCTCGATCAGCCTCATCATGACCGGCAGTTGTGGCTTGCACATGAAGGTCCATTGGCAGAACGACCGCGACTTGGGTCCCAGAATGGGATGGTCCTTCCAGTCGGGCTCGTCGATTTCGACGCCAATGACCATATCGATATCGCCTTCGTCGTACCGCTCCGGGACGAATTTCGAAAGCGGCTTGAGGGCTTCAACATCGATATCGGCATAAAGACCGCCCTCGGCGTACATAACCAGATATCGCAAGAGATCGGCCTTGACAATCGCGGCCTTGACACTCCGGTAAAAGTTGACAATATCGGGGCGGTTGAATCCGTCGGGGCCAAAGTGCCACTCGACGTACTGCATGTCATTGCCGTCGGTCAGAACTTCGTATCGGTACGACGGATTCTTTCCCACCCAGGACCGCGCGGTGTCGAGATCGCGTTGCTCAAAAGCGAGCGGGTTGACTTTCCAAGTCTGCCATATCTTCCGTGGGAACTCGGCGCGCGTGTACTTGGGAACGTTGTGCTTGGTCGGTACATGAGGGAGAACGAACGTTGTGTCCTGGACACCTGAGTGAAAGAGTGTCACGTTCAGGAGGAACAGGACAAAAACGACGACGGCGATATAGAGAGGCCCGCCGCGCCGGAATTGGGTCGGTAAACGATCGAAATTGCGCCGTTGTGGCAGCCAACTTGGGGGAGCCCAACGGCGATACCAACTTGGCGATCATCGAGGGCAGGTGCAACGGACTGCAGCCCTGGAAGCGAGTGGCATCAAATGAAGAAAACGAGACGAAAATTGGCGGCGAAAATTGGCGAGCAGAAGGCGGGAGCGAGTGAAACAGGGACCAAAGGGCGAGAGAGAGGGGAGAAAAGAAATTGGCGCCCTTAGGGTTGATGAGGGACCGGTGAAGATGCGGAGGAGGAGCAAAAGGCCGAAAGCATCACCAATTCTTTTTTCCCTCGCTGGGTCCCCTTTTTGGCTAATCAAGCTTATCGCTTGCCCGGTCGCGTGTCTGTTGCAAAGGTCACCCTGGGAATGCTTCAAAGTCCCGGCGATTTGTTCCCTCGAGGAAGCCAGCTCGACAGGGGCGTGCCTTGCCAGCCACCAATCACCCAGCAAACAAACAAGTCTTCCATCCCAAGTACACGAATGGTGCGGACGAGAAGGAATTGAAATTCGAATAGGGTTTCGGTTCTGGACCGATCATTGTCCCGTAATCGACCAGTCACAGTGGATAGAGGCCGTCCCAGGGTCTTCCCCCGAGAACGGAAATCCACTGTTTCTGCGGAGACTGATTCTCAATATCAAGACAAGCAATCCCGACCATCCTAAAGACCCCTGGTCGCAACCTGCGGATTAGACGAAATTTTGGGGTGAATGGAGGGCACGGGAATTCGATATCAGATGCTGTGGCAGAAACAAACTTAGAGGTGCGCGAACGGCGCAAGGACGCATCTCTCATTCCTTATAATGTCCCGCAAGCGACCGAGCGGTGTCCAGGGGCATGCATTTCAACGGAATGGCGCCCGGGGCTGAAGTATGACAAACATGGGAATGGATTTGCGTCTGATTGGATTGGCTCTGCACCTCTGGGTCAGTGATAGTGGCTTTTTGGAGGATGTGAACGAGACAATCTCATGTCCGACAACATGCAACCCACCATTGTCGTACATTATGCACGGCCAGTTTGTATCACGGAGCTCACCACCGCCGCCATCATCCACGAAGCCAGCTTTTGAAGATTCAGAACGAAGGTTGAAGAAGTTTCGCCGTCAACGCCGGCCCGTGCCGTCAACAAGGCCATTGGGGTGCATTCTAGAAGGCCTCAGCTCCCTTGGCCGTACGCTTGCATACCCGGATCGACCGTTGCATAGCCGTATGCCGGCAGTGAGACCCGTCTACTCGGAACACCGCGTCAGGAAGTGGTCGTGATCTCCCTTCCCTTGTCTCGATTTCGCTCCCTGGTAGGAATACAAGTACGCGATTCGAAGATTGTAAATTGCTAGGTTCGGTGCAGTCGTCTTTTCTTCATCGTGTCCTGCATCCAATGGTCAGCTCGGATTCGACTTGCTGAGCCCTATGATGAAATTGCTGACATCACAGTCGGAGTCAGGGCCGTGCTTTTAAGCTTAACTCACCACCTCACGGGAACAACGTTCAAGCCTTTGGTCCCTCATCCTCCCTCATTATGGCCTCACATTATCCATGGCGCGTGTCTGCGCGACAGATGGATTGATACCGTTCGGCATCATTCCCGTGACTTGTGAGTGAATTCTTCAGAACCGCGTCGTCGATATGCGATGATCAACAGGGCGTGCCTGTCCCCTGCCTCTTCCGCTAGCGCGGCACGCTAGGCCCCAAAGTGGAAGTAACCCCGGTTTTCTCGTGCGCGTCCCCCATCGCGATGTCGGCAACCTCTTTTTCATTCTATTACTTCATCATTTTTTCTGTTCACTGACCACGGTGAGCACTCCGAATGATGAACTATCGATTTCCACGGACTCTGTCTTCACACAAACATCGGTCACGGCTCAATAGCCACGTGCCGTCGCGCTCGCGAGAGTTTCTATGCCTTAAAAAGGTTATCTGCCTCAAGGGCGCCTGGTGCGATGACTTTGGCGCGCATTCCCGTTGCTGTGTTCCCAGTCCACGGTAGTGCAACGCGACATGCCGGCACGAAACGAAATATGTAAGGCAGCCGATCTGAGGAAACGAATCGCATCTCTTTCACTGACTGGTGCACCCATTCCATGGTTTGAAGCCATTTTCGGTTTACCAGTTTTGAGTGTCTGGTGTGTAATGTTGGCGTGCAAGTGCCCGGAACGTTGGCATGAGCTGCGCTGCGCATCACCAGCCGCTGCCCCTTCAATCGCCTCAACCACCCAGCAGCCAAAATAACGCGTGAAGAGAATCAGACAACCATTTATCTCCCACCAAAAGCCCGCACGCCCATGCGAAACCAGCCGGTCGTATTCTACCTACTTTACCTACTCTTTCTACGTACCTGCTGTGCCTCAAGTGGAAACGGTATTCCAAGCACATCTCATCTTCACATCTCGTCCATTACAAGCACCAGCGAGCTCGATTTTCATCATCATCTGATTCTCCTACCCACACATCGATCACATACTTTCGAGAAAGCAAAGAACAAAAACCGATATGAAATCAAATCTCAGTGTAGCCCTGCTAGGCCCTAACCAAGCGAGCCAGGCCTCGATGGTCGGGTTTGAGAACTGCATCCAGGCGTCTCCGAATGACGATCGCGTCAGGCTTAAAGCTGAACCGTTACCTGTGAAGCGGCAATGATGTATGTATGGTAAGTCGACAAACGTGTAACAGAATTTATATCTTGCGCTTTCCAACAAGATGGATATTAATGGCAAAGGAAGGTCACTATTCCGTGGAAGTCCATTTTTGGTCCGTGAATTGTGGCAGGGCTGTGGACGAGTACGAGTTTTGGCATTTTCAGCATCTGAAAGCTATTTTCTGGATTGTTCTCTTGCATCGTTGATCAATTGATGACCGATTTCGTTTTGCACATCGTTTCGAATGTTCATTCGGTCCATTGTTTTCCAAGAATAGTAGTTCCATGTAGCAATCATCACCATGTTTGTCCATACTTGCGTGACCACAAACAAACTTTACGAATCATTACAGAAATGCACAGAACAAATTTGAGATCACCAAAAAAGCCATCCACGTCACGCCTATGAACTTGAAATCATGAGGAAGTAACAGAAACGAGAGCAGACCAATGACACAAGAAAAAAAAACAGAATTGGGTTATAAGAAAAAGAACAAAAAAGAAGCCCAACGTGGGACTCGAACCCACAGCCTCAAGATTAGAAGTCTTGCGCGCTACCGATTGCGCCAGCCGGGCAACGCTAGGTGTTAGTGCTAAGCAAAATTCCTTTAACCTATAACTGCACCAAAAGTTTGGCACAGTACGAGGCAAAGGGATGTCATTGTTCCTTGCGCGATCTAACATCCTGGACTTTACACTTGCTTCCGTCATCACTCTGTAAACAATATCGTTCATTTTCTTTCTGTATGGTAAATAGTTGATTGATCTAACGTACTTCTAATGTTGTATTTACGTGTAGATTCCTTTTGGTGGATATTGCAGCGGTAGCTCTTCATTTGTTGGGGTTGTGTTCGAGAAATTTCCGTTTTGCCAAACCGCTATCTACACACGAGGTACAAAGACGTTATGCAGTTCAAGACCGAGGAAAGAGCCAAACTGAAAATGTGGAGTATCGGCTTTTGCAGTGTCATTTCATCTCTGTATCCCAATTCCAAAAAAACCTGTGCTCTAATGTCTACAGCGCCGAGACCGTAACTGGCCCAGATGACATTTACTCGAGAATTGTGCAAAGTACAATCCGGAAAACCTTAGATTTGTGTCTTTACGACGGGATATAGTTGTGTGGACGGTATTGACATTGTGCATTGAAGTAATTGACCAGTGCGGCGATTTATATGTTGGATTGTGGTTCAGTTTCGGTGGTCCCAGACGTATCATGAGCTCAACAGCCGCCAGTCAGTCGATAATCGATGGTCATTCGATACCATGACTCCTAATCTGCCAAGGCAGGAAAAGAGACGGTTATACCTATAAGGAAAAGAACATTGCAGTCACGGAATGCGACCGCTCCTGCCTCCGTTGACATGCAAACATGGACGACCGCCAATAAGGTTCACCAACAAGGTTTCCCAAGAAGATTTACCGAAGACAAAGAGACATAAACCAACAAGCTTCATCACCACCCGCAAGCCTCATCAACAATCTTCACTAACAAGCTTAATCGCTTACAAAGAAGAATGAACCAACAGAGTTTACCAACAAGGTTCAATGAGGACAAAGAGACATAAACCAACGAAGCTCACCCAACGAAGCTCACCAACAGTCTTTACTAACAGACTAAAAAGCTTGATCGCGTACAAAGAAGGATGAACTAACAAGCTTCACCAACAACCTTTACAGTGTACACAGAAGCATGAGCCAACAATCTCTACCAACAAGCTCTACCAACAAACTTCACCAACAAGGTTCATCATCAAAAACCTAAAAAGCATCCCGCCACCAATAAACCTGAAGAAGAATAAACACGCATACGGTCCGATACGGAAAGCGCGGACGGTACGGTACGGACCATCGCAACAGGAAGGCAAGCCGAATAAATAAGGTTCATCAAAACCTTAAATATACTACCTTAACTTAAATTCCACGTCCTACGAGCGAGGAAGGTGCGGCTGCTTTTCCTGTGCAACGGTGTGGACCCGCGTGACGTAGGGAGAATGAGCTGGTATTATGGCCTTCTTGAGCCGTGCACCTAGTCTGGAGCCGATCTCTCGACACCCTCCTCTCGACACCCTCGTTCTTAAGATCGCCGACAGTAAAAGCGAGTTGATCACGTGTGTAATAGTCAAGTCACTTACCCACGAAGAGCAACCAACCACATGCATGTAGCAAGATTGCTCGTCCCCTCGCGGTAATGGTTAACAAAAGTCGAACACAACACGGCAGCGGACGCAAGTCAATGAATGAAACTTCAAAGCGGCAGTCAGCTGACTAAATCGTCAGCAAAGAATGAGTAGTACTGGTCTAGTACCGGTCATGATCCAGCTTCCATGCATCATCGGCAGGTGCATCTTGGACTTCCAGACTGGATGTCCTGGGGGAAGTGGCGGGACTGTCACTGAACACGGATAATGAAAAGACCGAAGAGAAGCAAAAGTGAAGGGGACTGACGGGGACAATCGCCATCTCGGTTGCCACGCGATATTTGGGGAGCGGCCCAAGAGCAAGCGGTGAAGACGACAAGGCGATGATTAGAGTAAGGGGCGAGGGAGAGACAAGTAAATAAGCTCGCCACGTAGTGCGGGCAAGTAGGTTAGTTGGAAGCGAGACTCGTTCAGTTTGTGGGCATGGACAGCATGGACAACATTAGTAGCATGATGGAGCATGATGGAGCAATCTCCGAGTTAAGTCCAGTAGGCTAAGTTGCCTCCCACCTATGTACCTTATGTACACACTCCAGCTTCTCAAGATTGTGTTGGCATTCCGTAACGGAACGCGGAAAGCGGAACGGAGGCAGGAAGCTCCAGTGTCCGAGTTAGGTGTTAGCGGCCTCGGCGCCAGCACAGCGGCAATGAGACTGGAGTCCACGCCCCCCAGATCAAATGCTGACTGTGCATGAGTCCTAGTTTCGTCAGGGTCTGGTCTGGAGAAGAAACTTGGAACATTTTGTTCACTGGTTGCTTCTTGTCGTTCGGTGGCCAGGCTCCCCCGGGAGGTCGATGCGGGCTAGGTGGGTGTGGTTGTATTCGGGAAGCCTGGCCGTCTTGGATTTGACAAGATTATCATCATGCAGGCGGTGTTCAAGGATGGGATGACAGATCCGGGGGAACATTGATGTTACTCTAACCCCATGACGGGGTCTCTTCTCTTCTTTCTTCCAAGTGAGAAGAGGAAGTCAAATGTAGGTACTCTGGTTACAAATAGCTATCTTCCATGTTGTTGGTTCCGTCCGGCACAAAGAGAGAAATCAGCCGACCTGTTCCTTCTCTTCCGGATTTTCAAGTGTTATACCCCGATAGTCCGCGTATGTCGTTTTCGCCGCGGACATCAATGGTGTCTCCCTCAAATGGTATCCCCCCTTCCTCGTGTGTGCTGTGTACCCTTTCGTTGGACAGGGAGTCTGGTGGGACCGAGCAGAATAGGGGACCAAAGGCCAAGAGCCAAAGAGTCCCCACGATGCCATTTGGTGTGTTACGTCGCTACTCCGTTTCTCCGTTTCTGTTGTCAACGCAGCAAAAGTGGGTTAGCCATCACATCTCATCACATACTAAAATCACAACTCGAGGAAAATAGACCAAGACGGAGCGGACGGGAGCTAAGGTACATGCAAACTTACAACACAACGGATGCAACCTCTCGAACAACCCTACTGGGGAGTGGGACTGGGGCTGAAGCTCGAAGTACTAACGGCTTGTGATGGGACCGCAAGGACCGGGAATGTTTCCTTCAACTTGGGCACACTCTTCGACGGTGGCGGTGGCGGCGGTGATGATCCAGAGCCGCTGGCAACGGCGGTTCCGCTTCGACCTTCTTCCGCTCCTCGGCTGCCAGAAGTCTCAAGCCAGACACCGGTGCCGGTGCCGTGTCCGTGATCTATGCCGTTCCTTCTGGCAGTGTGGTCGTAGCTGCCATCGGTCATCTTACCCTTGGCCATGGACGCAAGAGACTGGTAGGTGACGCCGTTGTTGCCGTCGTGGCTATGCTCCTTCAAGTCTTCCGGGATGGCGGTCCCTTCCAAGGAAGAGCTACTGATGACGGACGCTCGCTTGTTGTCATGGCTATGGGGGGGACCAGACCGACCATTGTAGGCTGCTCCCGTGGCAGCGAAGTCGATGCTAGGCACGGAGGAGCCGGTGGTCATCCAGTTGCTTCGAGCGGAGTTGTAGGTTCTGGTGTTGGGAGGGGCCGACGGCTCTGGATGGGCCAGGGACACGCCGTGGTGGGTTCTGACCGAGTCGGTGTACTGGCTTATTCCGGAGTCCCGGTTGGAAGGTTGATGATGCCTTCCGACGGGGTCCCAACTTGCCCCAGAGTTTCGGTTAGAAGCAGAGTTCCAGTTGGCTGGGTGATCGTTTGCCGTGATATGGGCTGGAGCCTTGTAGGTTTTCTCGAGCTTCTTGAGGACTGCCGGGATGGCCGATTGCAGACGCTTGGGAGCCATGGGGCGCTGATGCTGTTTCATCAGTTCGTCCTCCTCGGCCTTGACGGGCTTAAGCCATCCGCGCTTCTCAAAGGAGCCCCGGCATCGTCCCCATCCAGCCTGTTTGAGGCTACGAAAGATGTAGAAGGGAATAAAGCCAAGGCACATGAACCCGGCGATGATCAAGATGGTTGTTTTACCATCTCCTTGCCAATCTGGTTTCCCCATTTTTGGCAATGTCGGGTTGACTGACTGGATGAAGGAGGATGGTTTTCCACCGCCCGAATTTTCGCTGCCCTTTTCCCAGTGTCTGTGGTGGGAAACGTTTTGTCAAGCAGGTTGGTAAACCCGCATGCTCAATGAACTCATGACCTCGCTAGGAGGCATAAAAACCCGAATGAAGATACGAAATGCAGACTCGACAGCAAATTGAACATAAAGCACTCAGGCCTTTGCTGCGTCTGCCCCCAGTGGTGTTTTGCCGCTGTTGCTGCCATGTTTTGTGCTGGCAGGATCAAGGAGTCCGTACCTCAGCCCGTAGATAGAACGCTGGTTCCCAAGGTCCATAGTCGGAGTATTCTCAGCTACATCATGGTGGTGAAATTGGCGTTGGTCTTGCACACTGATATCATGGCGGAAAAAAGCAAGTCACAGGAAGTGTAACGGAAGAGAAGAGGATCATGGGTGTCGGGTAAGAAAAGGATCAAAAACAGAAGCAGCAGCTGGCAGCCATTAAGGTTCTCATGTGGACCGTGCACCAGGTCATTTGTTGCCTGCCGGCTACTCATGGTAAGAAACGCAGGCTTGACACTGGCAGGCAGTTCCTTTGCTGTCTAGCTACGTGCACGTGACGTGCCAAGTCACTGTCGTCGATGTTTTATCCATGTCACTGCACAACCACAACCACCCTCAACCTCGTGTTATCTCAAAACAGCATAGTCACCGTGAATCTTGATCTTGGAGGTTTGCAGCGGCCAGCGGGCAGATTTGTCCCGACAATTTCGACATTCAGTGGCATGCCAGCAATGCGACCTCGGCGGAATCCGTCAGCGTCCCACGATGCCAAGGCCACCTCCATCATCACTGCGCGTCACTGTGCCCTTCATTTCGCGGGAAGGATGGAGGGTGCAGACCTGCGAACCCGGTGCGAGCGGCATTGGAAGCCATGACTGCAATCTCGAGATATTGCCCTCTTACCGCTTTCCCGGTTTGCTCGTCGTCGGATAGATTGCACCACTGAGCCTCATCGTTTATTCACAACCTCCAAGTCGGGCTACGACGAATAACATTCCCCTTTGATGCCGTCCCGCATCACGTCCTTTCTCATTTACATCAAGCACTACGCGCGACGTGTAGCCGACAGCTACAGAAGAGGAGAGAAGCGAGACGAGCGAGATTCCAGGGGCTTGTCTTGGGACCGTTAACCCGCAAATATCTGTCCGTGCGGTGTCAAGTGTCCAGCCAGCACTGCAGTCAGCACACACCCAGTCCGAGCAGATGCGGGGAAGCTATTCCCTTCTCGGCCCCTGCCGATCACTGGCTGCGGAGAAGAGAGCTCGCTAAAAAGAGAAAACCTGGGGTGCTGTGAATGGTGGAGTGCGGAGCCGAGACAAAGCTAGAACAAGCGGCACACCACCACTTCGAGAACAACTGAAGATGGTCAGAATGGGTGATGGGGCGAGACGGTTCAAGCGAGGTAGTGATCAACAAAAAGTCTGTTGAGTCGGCTGTGAAAGCCTCACTTGCTCGCCTCTTGGTGATGCCTTTTTCGGTACCAGGGAGTCGAATATGGGCGGTCAAAAGTCAACACGCATCCCGTTTCGGCCATCCGGGGCAAAATCAAGCATGGCCAACCCCCAGGTTTCCAGGACCGCACCGGAAAAGGGCAGATTAAGGTTGGGTAAAACGGACAGGGGCGAGTGCCGCTTATTGGAGGGGCGGCGATGGAGATGGGTCACCATGCGACTCTACGATGCTTGGTCCTGGGGTTCGGCTGGGGTTCGGATGGGGCTTTTTCGGAGGGCCAGGCACCGAGCCGCGCCAAAACGGATGCCAGTCCGATTCTAGCTCGACCGTTTCCACCGGCGGGCGCGTCCAAGGACCGCGAAGGACCGGGTGCCGCTACCTCTAGGGGCGACTGGAGCCACTATTCCCGCCTGACACTCACATTTGGAGATCTCGAGTATCCGCTGGGCGCTGGGTGTTTCCGAAGAGCCGTTGAGAGTTGGCAGACCTGGCGCCGCCAACCAAGGCCAAGACGACGCCGTTGCAACATCAAAGTGTCTGTCCGCATGTCTCGTGGTCAAGAGGGCATTCATTGTGTCTTGCCAGTTGACGACCTCGTTCCGCACTTCCACCAACCTACGACCCTGTGTACCCAACCTAGTGGACCATTCTATCCTCCGCGTCCACTGTCTTCGGCGTCGCGCTTGCCCCCTCCGCAAGCCAAGATGGTCATGCCGCCGGCCCCTTTCCCTCAACGTGAGGCTACGCACGCTGTGGGCCTTCGCAAAGCCTGGCGCGCGCGTCGAGGTCCTCCACTCTCCTGGAGGCCAGCTCGGGAGATGGGAGCGACATTTCCGCTTCAGAATCGTGGTTGTGACGGGCCGTGAGCCGAACCCACAACGTCCTGGACGCCTCTCACTTCGACCTACTGACCTTGTCGATACTCGGACAGGCATTCCTCCCGCAAAGCCGACCGCCCCTCGGAGCATGGTAGGCCTTCACGGAACTGGCGTGGCAAACGAGCCAAGGGGGGCGACCAAAGAAGAGGACGTTTGGATCCAAATCTTCACGACTTCCAGATGTATATAATCTGGCGACTCAACACCTCTCCAGACTCCCTTTCGATCTCGCAACCATCATCCTCAAGCACGCCTTTCAGCCTTCAGCCTCATCTTCACCATGCTCGCCAAGTTCGCTGCCCTCGCGGCCCTTGTGGCCTCTGCCAACGCCCAGGCTGTTTGCTCTCTCACTGCCGAGACCCACCCTTCCCTTAACTGGTCCAAGTGCACTTCTTCCGGATGCACCAACGTCGCCGGCTCCGTCACCATTGATGCCAACTGGCGCTGGACTCACACTCTCTCCGGCAGCACCAACTGCTACAACGGCAACAAGTGGGATACCACCATCTGCAGCACCAACACCGACTGCGCTACCAAGTGCTGCGTTGATGGCGCTGAATACTCTTCTACCTATGGTATTCAGACCAGCGGCAACTCGCTCAGCCTTCAGTTCGTCACCAAGGGCCAGTACTCGACCAACATTGGTTCCCGTACTTACCTCATGAACGGCAACGATGCCTACCAGGGTACGTGATGATCGCCCCCCTTTCCCCGAATACCTGATGGCTAACAAGGACTGTCTACAGGCTTCGAGCTCCTCGGCAACGAGTTCACCTTCGATGTCGATGTGTCCGGCACCGGCTGCGGTCTCAACGGCGCCCTCTACTTCGTCTCCATGGATCTTGATGGTGGCAAGTCCAAGTACTCCACCAACAAGGCTGGTGCCAAGTACGGTACCGGTTACTGCGACGCTCAGTGCCCCCGTGATCTCAAGTACATCAACGGTGTTGGTAACGTTGAGGGCTGGTCTTCCTCCACCAACGACCCTAACGCTGGTATTGGTAACCACGGTACTTGCTGCTCTGAGATGGATATCTGGGAGGCCAACAAGGTCTCGACCGCCTTCACTCCCCACCCCTGCACCACCATCGACCAGCACATGTGCGAGGGTAACTCCTGCGGCGGTACCTACTCCACCGACCGCTATGGCGGTACCTGCGATGCCGATGGTTGCGACTTCAACTCTTACCGCATGGGCAACACCACCTTCTACGGTGAGGGCAAGACCGTCGACACCCGCTCCAAGTTCACCGTCGTCACCCAGTTCATCAAGAATTCCGCTGGCGATCTCGGCGAGATCAAGCGTTTCTACGTCCAGAACGGCAAGGTCATTGAGAACTCCCAGTCCAACATTGCTGGTGTCTCTGGCAACTCCATCACCCAGTCTTTCTGCGATGCTCAGAAGACTGCTTTCGGCGATGTCGGTGACTTCAACGTCAAGGGTGGCCTGAAGCAGATGGGCAAGGCCCTCGCCAAGCCCATGGTCCTTGTCATGTCCATCTGGGACGACCATGCCGCCAACATGCTCTGGCTCGACTCCACCTACCCCGTCGAGGGTGGCAGCCCCGGTGCTTACCGTGGTGAGTGCCCTACCACCTCTGGTGTCCCCGCCGAGGTTGAGGCCAACGCCCCCAACTCCAAGGTCATCTTCTCCAACATCAAGTTCGGCCCCATCGGCTCTACCTTCTCCGGTGGCTCTTCCGGCGGCACCCCCTCCAACCCTTCCAGCTCCGTCAAGCCCGTCACCTCCACTGCTAAGCCTACCACCACCTCTACTGCCTCCAACCCCAGCGGTACCGGTGCTGCTCACTGGGCCCAGTGCGGTGGTATCGGCTTCAACGGCCCCACCACTTGCCAGAGCCCTTACACTTGCCAGAAGATCAACGACTACTACTCCCAGTGCTTGTAAACTGCTAGCCAGGATTGGTGGCCTTTTGGTCATTGGAGGCCGGTCATCATCATCGGCCGCAGCATGGTGAACTCCCCCGACTTGCGTGCACAAAAAAAGACGGAGGGACAAGCCAGGGCATTGACGAAAGGACTTTCAACGCTTGAAGAATGATAATGGTTCGACAACACAAAACCGTGGGTTTCTACAGTACCTCGGATTTCAAGTACATATTAGCGTGTTTTGCATTCTTCTACTATCTATCTTGTACATAGTTTTGCCCTCTTTGGACCTTTGGGTCCTTTGGCCGTATATATTTCATGCATTTGTTCATATAAATCTGGCTCTTTTTGCATCGTGAATTCGGACCTGATGCTCCCATGACACCCTCCCCAGCTGTTCCCGAAGCAACTCTAATTTTACGTAAACGAGTGGCTGTCATGAAAATGATAGTGAGGACAAATAGTTGAAGACAGGAAAACGATCTGTTCAGTGTTTCAACAAACATGAGACATCTCCGGATCCCGGCCGGCAAGAAACAAAATCCATCGTTTGTATAAGCCGTGTAAGTCCATTGGTCAAAACTGACAGGCAGCCCCAAGCTTCCACAAAGCCCTCGTCCCCACCACTACACGACGCTCCACAACACCAACAAAACTCATTTGCTTCATAAACCCAACATCCAAATCCAGGAAAAAACCAAGGAAGGAAATCCATACTTTGTTTCAATTGAATCGGGTATGGTGTAGCGGTAACATCGTTGACTCTCACTTTCACCAAAGAAAGTGTCTGCCTTCTCAACAGCCCCGGGTTCGACTCCCGGTATCCGAGTGATAACGATCATCTCAAGAAGTACTTCCTCTTCCTTTTTTTTTTCTTTCTTTTTTTTCTTTCTTTTTTTTCTTTCTTTTTTTTGTGCAATTTTTGCATATTTTTGTTCTTCATTCATGTCCGGTTTTTTATTTTATTTTTTAAGTTTTTTTTTTCTCCCTCTTTCCGTCTTCTTCTGTTTTTCTTTCGGTGACGGGCTCCCGCGATGGATGTGAGCAGGACGGATTGCGACAGCGGCAACGATGTTTGGGCCTCCTTGGGGAATGAGCAACCGAAAATTTGCTCCTCTGAATGGGCGTTGATAGAAAGAAGGAGCATCATGTTGGGTTGTTCCTTCCTACTTTGATTTGCCACCAAAGTTACGCATTCGACAATATGACATAGCGGTAACATTTTATCTTGCTGGGAAAGAGCACCCGAGTCCCAGGTAATTTTTGCCTCCTTTTTTGTCTTAATCCGGCAGAGGAAGGAAGCATTAAGGCTCAGGCTGCTCTTTCCTAATCTGAATCTGCCGCCAATGTCACGCGCTCGACAATATGATGGTGATAACGATCGAGTCATCAAGTTCTTCCTCTCTCTCCCTTTTTTTTTCTTTTATTCTTTTTTTTCTGCAACTCTCTTTTCTGTCTTCTACCTCTCCGACTCTTTCTTCTCTTTCTTCCCTCATCCCTGTTTTTTTCTTTCCTTGTCTCCGTCAGTCACAAAATCACTTTTGGGATGATTGCGACATTGGCATCATATACCTGGTGCCGGGGAAGGAGCAATAAGTCGGGTTGTTGCTGTTTCCCATCTTAAACTGCCGTCAAGACCATCCGCTCGATGTTGTGTTACTTTACGTTGCTTATTTCCCTCAATCTCAGCATCTCCCTGCTTCACCATACCACGCTGCACCACATCTTGGAACGGATGGTGAACGAGCTTAAACAGCCCAAAAAGCACCAATCGACAAACTCACACTGGATACACAGGGTCAAGACCGCCCTTCATGCTACCAGCCCTTTCTTTCTGGCTTCTCTTTTCATTCGTGAACCTCTTTCCTTTTTGCATTAAATTCCTGTTCTTCAGCACCTCCACAACCACAAACTCCAAGGTTCTATTACCAAACTTCGCAACCTCATGCACCTCGCTAACCTTCCTCCTCCGCGCCACCGCTAATGATACCCGCTTCTTTTACCCTCCCGACCCGACCTCCACCTCCTCTATCCTCTCTTTTATCGAGGCTTCCTACTTTAATTCCTCCGGACTCTTGACGAACGGCACCCAGCCCGTTCGCGGCATCTTTCCCGTCTACGCCACCTACTGCCCTCCAGCCTCCCACTCCCGTAGCGATGAAGTTCCTATGTATACGCTCTAGCTGCTTGTTTATGGTATTGCTTACAACCGCACAATTTGGTCCAGTTTGGGATTGCGCTAGGAGGATTCCAACTACATTCGAGTTGCAAGGAATTGGGGGTATCATGTTTTGGCTGTCGACCTGTTAGGGCACGGAGATTCCTCCAGCCAGAACTATGACGGGCTAAAAGAGATCCAGCCACCATTACAAGTGGAAGCATTGCACTCTCTCATCTGCCTCCTGCGCCACGGCCCCATTAACGCTCCCCAAAGAGTATGGAGCAACCCGCTACCGTATCAGTTTCCGAGAATCGTATACGTTGGCCATGGGTACGGTTCTGACTTGGGTGCTTACCTTGCTGAAAAATACCCAAAGGATGTGGATGCCGTGGTGCATACGTCGCCTATTGGAAAGGGCGAGTTCAACAGCAGTGTCATGAGGAACTTGCTGCCTGTCCAGCTGGTCGATCCCGAGAGATTTGAGCAACTGCCGCTGACGTACTTGACTTTTCGGAGTGCTGTGGTGAGGGAGAGAACTTTTTAGGGAGGGGAGACTTATGATGCGGATATCATTCCTGCCGAGGACTTCAGGGGCCAGGTCACGGTTACTATTGGGGAGGCGGTGTATCTTGCGGGGGATACTGAAAAAACAGTGGCGGCGAGGGGGTATAAAGGAGAGGTGATCATGGTTGCTGGGGAGAGGGATGCTCTTTCATGTGATGGTGGCTCTGATGGCGCTGGGATGGAAAAGGGGAACTGTAAATCACGACTAGAGGAAATGGTAAGGAAGATGTGGCCTGATACGTGGTCGGCCTGGTGGGGTGGTGTCTATGTGGCGCAGGAAATGGGCCACACGTGGATGATGCATTACCCTGATAAGAGAAAGGCTAATATGGGTATGACGAGCAAGACGAGGGATATATGGGCTACGTATTTGAAGCATTACTGAATGTCACATACCAGGGCGGACATTCATGAGTGGCTTGAGGGCGTGTTTAAGCGGATGCTGGAGGATGAAGAGATGGCGGAAAGAGGAGAGGGTGGGAAGACTGCCCGGATGGTAACGCAGGACGAATTCGTGGATGGATTCGATAGGTTTGAGATGGACGGTGAGTGAGTGCTCTCATCGGATCAGGCTGATCGATTCGAGTGTCTGATGTTTGATATTGTTAATTACAGCGATACCCTGCAAGCACCGTCAGTCGAACGCCTTTTGGATGAACGCTCGCATCGCTTGGGAAGCTTGAGGGGTTACTGGTGACACTAAACCCTTCTCTTTCTTTATCAGTACATTGCTGATAAAACGTCAGCGCACCTTGCATAACGAAATAATTTGACCGTGGATCGACGAAGAAAATAACGAGTTCAGCGTCGCGCGTACCCTTTCATCGTCCGACTGGCTTCTGCTTGAAGCACCAGGCAAGATCTCACCACGCTGCGATCCAAATCTGCTTCTGATTGTATAGCGCCCAAGAAACCCTCAGAGGATCTACCATCCTCATCCCCTGAAACATCATTGTTGCTTCTTACGGTCATCGTTGCCGTTTCGGACGGTAGACGCATTTTCCAAATCTTCACCACGTTGGCCGTTCTCCTCGTCACCACCAACTACGCCGGCTTCCTCGAGCGCTTCTTCCGTCGTCGTCTCGCTTTCCTTGGACGGTAGATCATCTCTTCGGAATTTCCAGCCCCCTGACCAGCCGATCCATCCCTGTTCTCTTGGTCCTCGAACAAGGCAAATTATCAGCGCAAAACCGCCAAAGGCAACTATTTTGTGTCAGCATCTCTCTCCCCATCAAGACTGATTCCAAGGACAGACAGTCAATACTCACTCCCACAAGCACCACTATACACCCAACCCCCCTGAGCATAAAGCCGATTCCCCACCGCCGTCCCCGTCAACTGCCCAGCAAAGCTGACCACCATATACGCCGTATTCACGCGATTCCTCTTCAACGGCTGAATCCCATAAATCGAACTTCTCATCGCAATCTGCGTAAACTGTCCTCCTAAATCAACCATAATAGCCTGAACCACCGGACCCGCGACATTAAAGCTGCCGACCGACGTCCCTACCACCACGCCCAACGTCTCAACCACCAGTCCCATAATCGCCGACACAAGCGGCACCAACCGATCAATAATCAGCCTGCTATAAATTGGCGCGCACACAATAACCACCACGCCAATCAACCCAAACAATCCAATAACCACCTGCGAGTACTCATACGGCGGACTGCTCAGCAAGAAACTCAGCGTGGTCCAGTAACTTGTAAAAATCCCGCTGTGCAGGAACGCCACCAGCGCCGCCTGCAAAAGCAGCGGCTCGGTCGCCAGCAGCTGCGCGATCTGCACCGGCATCTTGAAATAGTTAAATTTCGTATCAGGGTTTTTGGACGGGTAGTCGGGCATCCATATGTATAAGAGTCCAAACACGAGCCATTGCACACCTAAGCCGAACCAGTAGATGTTGCGCCAGGAGGTGAAATTGGCGAGCACGCCTGCGAGGGTGCGCGCGAGGAGGACACCGAGGGAGAGGCCTGATACGATTACTGCGAGAGAAGAGGCGCGCCGGGAGGGAGGGGCGAGGTCGCCGACGAGGGGGAGCATGAGCTGCGGGGTTACGGTTGTGGCGCCGCAGAGGAAGGATATGGCAGAGAAGGAAGGGAAGGAGGTTGTTAGGCAGAGGGGGATCCACTGTTTTTTTTTTGTTAAAATGGTGTTAGTGAGGACGAGATGGAAGATGTGGAATGGGGATGGGAAGGAAGGGGATGGGGAGGACAGGGAAGGCGTACCAAAGTCGCAGTAAAAGCTATCAACCCAAGGATAAACGGTCGTCGGGGAAAGATGTCACCTAGCGGACAGATGAACAGCAAACCGCTGCAATAGCCGGCTTGCATCAGCGTGGCTACCGACGAGGCCTTTTCGAAGGTGACATGGAAGGTCTCTGCGATCTTGTTTAGGACCGCTTGGTTGTAGTACAGGTTGGATACGGTGAAGCATGATGCCTGCAAGTGGTGTCAAAAGGTGTTAGTTTTTGGGTGGTATTGAACACTAGATATCATTGGTATGAAGAACATAGACTCACAAACCCGAATAGCATATTCATCCAGATAGTAAACTTGGGAGGGTTGTCGGGGTCATACCTAGCCGCTTTGGGCTTCCAGTGCCAGAGTGTTTGGAGCTGGGTTTTCCATGGGGCTTTATCAGTTGTTGCCAGACTTTCATCAACATCATCGACTTGGGCAACTCGAGGCAGGGATATTCCCGATGACTGAGCGTCCTCTAGCACTGGGGATTTCTCGCTTTCCTTGGAATGGTGATCATTATCGTTGGTGTTGGTTGTCAAAGAGCCTTCGCTCGGACTCTGACGAATGGGGATATGTGCTGGGGTACATGCAACTTCCGAGTCCTCTGGTATGGTTGGCTGCGCATCATCTTGATGCCGAGACATTGTCTGATATGCCGAGTTATAGTCGAATTTCCTGGGCCGCTTCAAGTCCGACTTAAGAACGCCGGTTTGGATGAACTCGGGCAACTAGAGAGGAGAGGAAGGGAAATGAAACCCGCTCAGCTCCAGACTACCCAAGTTGCTCCGTTGACGTGCCAACTCCGTGAGGGGGAAGTAATGTTGTCACTGCAGAAAACTGGTGAAGCACAACATCGCGTCTTCCGAGATTTCAAGAGCGAAAGAAAGAGAAGACTGACGTCGTCGGCGTTTGCTTGTTTCCGGGTCGGGTACGGGTCGGGGAGATCCGTCCGGGTGGGGGATTGGGGGTTGTCAGGGGCACTGCAGTACCTCTAGCTTGCAGGTGCAGGGGTGCTGTGCGGGGGAGAAGCGGCCGAACGCGGCAGTTGGTTATTGTTAAGCCGGTGATATTCCGGGAATATGACGGCCTCTCTTTTTTCTCCCTCAATCCAAAAGTTTGGAAACTCTTCTCCATGTCTCGCAAAACATGTTGCCGGAATGAATTGGGGATATCCGTCCCACCGAGACTCAATTCACTTCAAAATAGAAGAATCGCTCACTCGACAACCCGAGACGAACGAGGCGACCTCGTCAAATTTGGTCCTGTCGCCGGTTGACGCCAATTCGTGCTTGAATTGCATGCATGTCGGCGGCAGCGCAATGATGCCAGAAATGCAGACCGCGTTTTTCTAGCTATTCCTCGGCTTCTTAACAGTCAACACCAAACATCACTTGTCCACCATGCTGAAGAACTCTCGAAAGACCTCGGAACCTCCAAGTCATTGGTGTCATCAGGAGGGGGAACAGTCAAATCATCACAAGCCATCTCCATTCATTGACTAACTCCTAACAGACAGCCCAGCCGACCTCCCAACCAACTCACTGCACAACAAACCTCTGATCATGCTTCTTAAACAACACGGACCGATCCAAAAATTGCGCCCGTCTCGCTGTTGATAAAGTCCACCTGCAATCTTTGCTCGCTCAAAAAGTTGACCGTCGCATAGCTAAACGCCTCATCGTACGCGAACCGATTCGTCGTCATGTTCTTGCCGACCTTACTCAACCCCTCGACATTGCCCGCACCTCCGGCGACAATATACATGGGCGCCTTGGGGTTCTGCATCCCGTTCGGGTCTGCCGTGTCGTTCACCACCGGCGCAAACCGCTGGCTGTTATGCACGTGTCCGAACACGCCCAGGTCCACGCCATACTTGTAAAACAGCGGCTCGAACGCCTTCTTGCACGGCTGGCAATCGCTTGTGCCCGTGGTGTACCACGGCCTGTGGCCTGCGACGATGACCCAGGGGGTCACGGATCTGTCGACTGAGGCGAGATCGGCTTCGAGGAAGTCTAGCTGTTGCCGGAGGTACGAGCCAAAGGGACCCCCGTTTAGGCCGGCTGATCCGCCGGGCTGGTCGGGCGCGTCCTCGAAGTCGGTCTCGGTGTCGATCATGACGATGTGCGCCATGCCGTACTCGAAGCTGTACCAAAAGGGCGGGTTGGCGAGGAGCCGGGCCTTGTTGGCGTTGACTTTAGCCTGCTGATCAGGCGAGGTGGACATGAACGCGGTGGGCAGGACGCGGCCGAAGCGGTTGATGAAATCGGTGAAATTCTTTTGGCCCGAAGGGCACAGCGCGCTGGTCAGCGGCACCTCCTGGCACGAAGCTTCGTGGTTGCCGGGGCTGGTCATGTAGGGCTTGCGCGCGGAGATGGGCGCCAGCTGGTTGAAGAAGGTTTCGGTGATGGCCTGGTAGCCGTCCTTGCCGTCGAACCAGTTGTGCGCCTTGAGGATCCAGTCGTCCGCGTACCCGATGTCACCCGGGTGCACAATGAAGTCGTACTTGTCAATGTTGTCGCGCAAGCGGCCGATGGTGGTGTGGTTGAGCGACGGGTCGATGTGCGGGATCAGGTCCCGCTTGGTCTCGTCTTGGTCGATCGTGTAGCCGTCTTTGCCGTAGATGCCGAGGTCGATGACGATGCTGATGTTGAAGGGCGTCTTGTCGCCTGGCGAGCGAGGGCTGGTGAAGGTCTCGAGCGTGGAGTTAGTCGAGACGATCTTGTAGTAGTACGTGGTGGCGGGTGTTAGGCCGTTGATGGTGACCACGTTGGCCCAGGTGCGCGATGTCGGATAGGTGATGGAGGAGGTCGAGCATGACTGCTGGCTGAGGGAGGATTGTGACGTGCCATACTGGACGCACGGCTGGCCGAGTTGTTGGTAGGTATTCCAGGCGATGCGGACGGCTGTTGATCCTGGTGTCAACTACTTGCTGTCTTGCGCACTCACGGGAAAGGCAAAGACAAAAGGGAAACTCACATGTCGGGCTGTTGATGGCGATGCGATGCTGGACAGGCGTGGTCAAGTCAAGAGGAATAGGAGGGTATGTCGCTCCCGCTGCCACACCCAAAGCCAGCAAGGGAAGTCCCTTGACCAAGATAAGGAGATTGTCCATCATGATGACCGTGGTGCCGACGCTCGTGCCCGTTAGCGATGAACTTGACCACGTCTAGGAAGAAACACAAAGAGTCGGACCAGGAGGATCAAACATCTGGGGTTCTTCGGTTTTTATCAATGCCTACATCCTTCCCTTCCCCTCTCCTCCACTTTCCTGGTCCTGATCCGCACCTCGTACCTGGCAATAGGACCATCAACTATCACCCATCCGCGGGAGAGTTGGAGCTCCCGCTCCAAAAGAGGCCGCTCAGGGGTCAGGGGCCGTCTCTCAGCGTCGCAGTTTCAGCAGCGATCAAGTCTTTCGAACCGGTTATCCCAATGCAAACGATGCGATTCGGTACCACATCCCGTCATTTTCTTGACAAATTGATCCAAGTCCATCTTCAACTGGTGGTCGGTGATATTCCCGCACAACCTATGATCGTGCACAACCAGCGATATCCGCACGTGGTTGGTTGTTGTTAGACAAAAAGAGTGGATTCAGGATTTCAAGGTCCATCGTGGGTAAATCTGTGTAAGATGATTGGATAGAATGGGCTGAACGACAGGGGCGCTAAGCGGTTTTGGAGGGGACTGATCTGATCATCAGGCAGCGTGTCAGCGATCTTTGGGAGTGTAACCATCACCACCGCCAAAAAAACCAAACTTGGAAGGGCTGGAAGGGAAGAGCAGCAGGGGAACCCAAAGGGGTATAATTGCTTTTTGACGAGAACTGTTCAATGTTTGAGTGCCATTCGGATGCACGTCAACTTTATCGGCTTGCGGAACTGGGAAAGACTTTGTGAAAATCTTGAATGAGATCGGCTCGGATAGGTACCCTCGATGCCCGCATTCATGATCATCACCTTTGACAGTTCGCGGTTCCACGTCTCGACGGTTGAACGTTCCATTCGGAAGCTTTTGTGGAGGCAATAACATGATCGTATACAGACAGGGTTTGCCGATCCCGTTCAACGGCTTGGAAGTGCTTGTTTGTCAACGTGCTTGGAAGAGCTGGGGTTTCTGGATCAGCAAGTTGCATCTTGAGGCTTGACAGGATTCCGATATAGGGAACTCATGACTATAAAGGGCTGCGACCTTCCTTTTGCGTCCTTCATGTCTTTTGTTTACCTGTCGGTGATTTTTGTAATGGAACCTTTGGGGAATGTCTGGTATTGGAATATCAGTTTGTGCAACCGGGCTGGACGACGGGACTCGGAGGTGAGCTGGTTCACGATGTAACTGACCTTACCCACGTGCTGGCAATTTTCTTGGTTACTGGCTTGTGCGTAACATGGGAAGATTTACTGTTTACAACAATGCGCGAAGTTATTATGAATGGTCTGGTTTTCTTTCCTTCCTTCTCTGTTTTCCCTTTGCTCGGCGATGCTTGCTTCCCTACCTCTTGGCAATCTCGGCAGCCTCCTTTCTACCAGAACAATGGAACATACAAACAGCGGAAGACGCCTGCGAATACCAGGAAGGGAAAGAGCAAAACCTAAACAGGAATTCCATAACCCGAAAGAAAATCCAGACCGATACGCTTCCTCCATTCAACCCATTTCACTTCACCGCACATGAGGCCCTAAATCACCACCCATCACCAACCCCAAAACCACCAAAAACCTCCTCACACCTTCCTCCCCAATCCCCATTCCCATTGCCCACCTCTTACTCCCCTCAAACTCCAACACCAACACCCCATTCTTTCTGTCTGGCGTGGCATACACCTCCGGCCGTTCTCTAGCCGGCATCTCCCTCTCGTAGAACCCGATTCCTCCGCTTCTGAATAACCCACCCCCATCCTCATCTCCTTCACCTCCACCTTCCTCCATGTCAGTACCAGTACCAGTACCAGTCTCATCCTCCTGCTGATAAGCCGTCCTCCACCCCCCAATCTTTCCTCGGTGTTCCTTCCGCCTCCCCAAGATAATCCCAATCCGTCCCCCCCTCAATAATTTCCCGCATCCCCACGCTTTCATACTTCGAGTCTTCAATGAATTGTTCCTGCAATTGCTTTGCCATACCCATAAAATCGTGAGAAACCCAGACAGTAACGGGTAGTTCCGTCATCGTTGGCCCCACTACATTTTGCAGAGACGCAGGAAGCAGGGAACGACCTGTGACAAGACGGCCGAAGAGCAGTTTGTGGGTGCCGAAGAAACGGGAGAGGGCGAAGGCGAAGGAGGCGTGGAAGTGCGTGGCGGGGGAGATGCCATCTTCTTGTCCAAAAGAAGGGAAGGGAATGGTGTGGCTGAGGGAGAGACGGTCGGAGACGGACGAGGACCAAGTGGTGGTGGTGGGTTTGCGGCACAAATTGGCAGGATAGCCCCAGCCTTGGAGGCGGTTGGTCCAGTAAGTTAGACTTTCTTGCTTGTGCGATTCGCGGTGGGCGATGTAATCCGCGAAGGAGGGCGTGGTTAAACTGGATGGGGTTGAGATTGCTTGCTGCCGCTTGTGCTGGTTGAGGTAGAAAGAGGAAAGGGTCTGGAGGACTTGAGACCAGCTGAATCCGTCGAAGTAAGCGTGGGAGATGCGGAAGATGAGCTTGTGCGAACTCGGATTGGAAACAGCGGAGTGCTTGAAGGCGATAAAGCGGATGAAAGACTGTCCAAGCTTGCGAGGGCGGGTGAGATCTTCGGCACAGATTGCGTTCACAAACTGCGAGAGATCGTTCGTGTCACTGGCGTCGATGGTGTCGTAGGCTGGAGTGAGTTTGCGCAGGATAACTTGCAAGAACTTCCCGTCGTCGCCGTCGTCATCCGCTGCTGCAGCTGCTGCTGGAACGAAGACGCTGCGGAGGATGTCGAAGTGGTTCACGAGGTCTTTGCACGCCTGTTCGAGCTTTGCAAAGTCCACGGAGGCGGGGAGATCGAAGATCCAGTGGGGATATCTGCCAGGAGGATCTTGCAGGTTTTCCGAGATTGAGAGAGCTTGGAAGTCTGTGGCGGGAATTACGTCCTGGATGTGCTCGGCCGTGAGCCCATCGTTCAAGAACGGAACAACTTTGCTTTCAAGGAAGTCTGCCAGATCATCCATCTTCACTAGTGAGAATGGGGCATGGGCAAGTATATCCTCCTCATGTCCATTGATCTCCGCCACAACCAACGCAAGATCACACAGCTTCGGTGCCCTGAAGATCTCAGCAACCGTCAGAGCCAGTCCCTCCTGTCGCGCCATGGAAACCATCCTCATGGCAGCGATGGACTCGCCACCAATCCGGAAGAAAGTGCTATCGGCAGAGATACTCTCCGGTTCAATCTCCAGAACCGAGGACCAAAGAGCCTGCAACCGCTTCTCCATTTCCGTTGACGGGGCCCGTCTAGACTCCGTACCCTGCGGTTGCATAGCAGCCAGCTCCTCCAGCGTGTACCTGCTTCCTATCTGCCTCAGAGCCCGTCGATCAGTCTTGTTGGTCGTTGTCATCGGTACCTTGTCGACGTAGATGTAGGCCCCGGGAACCATGTACTGCGGCACTTGATCCCAGAGTTTCTCTTCGAGACCTTCAATGGCACGGGCGAGTCTGGCTCGATTCCACTTGTCAGCATCGTCATCCACGGAGCTTACGTCATCCTTTCTGCCTTGAGAAGACTGAAGAACACGGCAAGAATCGGACTACTAGTGTTATTAGCGGGCGTGATGATCTCCGCCGCAATAGCGTCTACTAGACTCAGATCCCGCAGTGAGTTGTGAACGTGGTACTCCACCTCGCTCAGCTCGATGCGCTGCCCGCGGAGCTTGATCAGCCCATCTTTGCGACCGATGAAATCCAGTGAGCCATCAGAGTTGTGGCGCAAGAGATCGCCTGTTTTGTAAAGCGTGTCTTGTCGTCCTCGATGTCTATGCGCTCCCTTCTTAAGCCACGGCGGGCTCCGGATATACGCCGCCGCGGTCTTGCTTTCATCGTCAAAGTACCCCTTGCTAACCGTCGGGCCTTCGATCAGAAGCTCGCCAATGGTGCCAACGGCAGCTAACCTATCCGGACGACCAGGTTCAACAAGCCAGGTGATGGCGCCGTACGGGATACCGACGTGGTTATTACGCGTCTCGGGCGTGAAGCGCGTGAAGGACAGTGCCTGAGCGCATTCAGCTGGGCCGTAGATTCCAATGACGGTCTCCGCCTGCGTCCAGCGCGCGACGTCCTTCCTCATGATGGCTTCGCCGCCCATTGCTAGCGTGCGAAGTCCTGGCAATGTAGATGGGACCAGCGAGCGGGCCACGGAGGGAGTAAAGTAGGTGTAGTCGCAGTTCATGCGGTTAAAGGAGCCGCCAATGTCGTTCTTGCGTTCTGTCTCGGATGGGATGCAGAGGCAGGCGCCGCAGATTAAGCTCTGGAGATGGTTCGACCAGGAGACGTCGAAGCTGTAGGAGACGAAGTCGAAGACGCGGGTTCCCTCGCGGATGTTGAGGATGGAGGCTTGGTGAGTGGCTGCTGAGGAGAAGTTCTGGTGGGTGGTTATGATGCCCTTTGGAGTGCCTGTTGAGCCGCTGGTGAAGACGATGTAGAGGGTATCGGACGGGGTGACCGTGACCTGAATTGAACAAGCAGGCCATTCGAGGCTGTGCACTTCATCGACAACAACCACCTCAGCATCCGACAGCCGGCTTGTTAACTCTTGCGTGGTAGCAGATGCTAGCAATATCTTGGGGCCAATCTGTGTCACTATCGACCTCAGCCGGCCTTCAGGCTGCGTCGAGTCCATAGCCACGGCTGCTGCGCCAGCCCTCAGGATTGCCAAAGCCGCAACGGGATACCACATTGACTTCTCGACACAGAGTGGGATGATAGTTGCTGGTCCGGCTCCGAGAGCAACCAAGTGGGCTGCTAAGCGACCAGATAGTCTGCCCAGCTCAGCATAAGAAAGCTCGCCATCCCACGCGCAGATGGCAGGGGCGTCAGGAATACGCTTCATGGTCTTTTCGATGAGGCTGTGGACGCATTCCTCAATGGCTTCCGGCACAGTGGCGTTCCATTTCCACATTTCCTGCACGTCCTCCTTGCTGACGGTTTCGATATCTTCGATCTTCTGATCAGCGGGTGAAGTGGACAGTTGGCGGAGGACATGCTCAAACTGAGAAGCAATCCGTTCCATTTGCGCCTGATCAACAACCTTCGAGTCGAAGCTAATCTCCAGCTTTATCCCATCTGAGTTGACCAGCTGGCACATGACCATGACAGCATTGGGATTGAAATCATCCAACCCATCGCGGCTGGAGATGTACTCCGGTCCTGAGGTAAAGGGGCCATCCTGCTTCAACCCATCATCATCTTGCAACGCAGGTTGTACCACTATCGTCACCAAACCAGTTAGCATCTCTCAAACCCAAGCCTTCCTCAAGACAAAAAGAGACTTACCAAGCAAACAATTAAACCTCGTCCCCCTCTCCGCCTCCTCACTAACCCTCCTAATCTCCAACAACTCCGTCCCCTCAAACTCCACCATCGCCAACGCCTGGTCCCTAATCCCCTCCAACAGTTCCCTCACCATCTGCCTCTGTCCATCAAACTTGACCCTCACCGGCACCGCGCTAATCAAAGGCGCAACCATCCTCTCCATCCCCTCCAGCGGCGCCTGCCGTCCCGTAACCATCGCACCAAACATCACGTCTTCCGTGCCCGTGTACCTTGCCGTCAAGATCGCCCAGGCCGCGCGAATCAAGCTGTTGGCTGTCGCATCTCCTCGCTTGGTTAGTCGAAGGTTTGTCAGATGGCGCTTGACGGTGCTGTCCGCTTTGGGGCGGTAGTCCTGTTCCGGCAGTTCAGGGAAGGGAATAGCTTCCGAACCGGCAAATTGGTTGCGCCAGAAGGAATGAGACGCTTCCTGGGAGATAGTGGAGATGTGGTGGATGAAGGACTGGAAGGGGGCGATGGGGCTGGAATCGATGATGCCGGCGTAGGATTTGGCGATTTCGCAGAGGAGGAGGTGTAGGGAGTAGCCGTCGTAGATGGCGTGGTGTTGGGTTATGCAGCAGCTGAGCTCGCCGTTGGAATTTCGGACTATGGCTAGTCGGGTAAGTTCGGTCGCTAGGCCCATTGGCTTGGCAAGGTCGTGTTGGAGATAGATGTTTAGATCGCTGGCTTGTTCCCAGTATAGGGACTCGTTGACTTGGACTTGGACAAGACCTTCTGTGGGAACGTCAAGAATTCGTTGACGCAGAATAGGCGCGACTTTCCGGCTGACGTGTTCCCAGGCGGCCTTGAAGCGGTCGAGGTCGATATCTGGTCTAAGATAGAGCATGTACCTCGCGACGTAGCTACCATCTGCCTTCGCCGTCCTGTTGTGTACCGGAGGTTAGTATAGTCTCATCTTCGAATATGATGTGGCACTTACATAGAAAGTAAGGACTTCTGAACACTCGTAGTAGGGAAGACATCCTCAATCTGATCTCTCTCGATACCACATTGACTTGCAATGTAGTCAAGTGTCGAGTCCTTGTCAACAGGGTTCTTCAAGAGCACAAAAGGCTCAATAGTCCGAGGCTTGGATGTCTCCACATCCTCCTGGTGTTGCCTCTCCATCTTCTTCGCCATATCCGACAACTTCGGACACTGGAGAATACTTTGGACCGCCAAGTTGTACCCGAAGCGATTTCGAGCCAACGCAGTCAACCGCATCGCCGAGATGGAATCACCGCCAAGACGCAAGAAACTGCTTCCCGTACGGATCTTCTCCTCTTCGACACCCAGAATGATGCTCCAAAGTTGCTGAAGAGCAATCTCCTCTGCAGTTCCGGGTAGCTCACCATCTGCCTCGTTTCCTTCGCTGCTAGCCTGCTCGAGAGCCAAATCAGCGCCCATCTCACGCAACCGCTTCCGGTCCGTCTTTCCACTCGTCGTCAACGGCATCTTTTCAACAGGGATGAACGGCGCTGGGACCATATATGGCGGTAGTTGCTCGCTCAAAGCATCTCGTAAACCGTCCACCCAGTTTGCAAACTGGACCTCGCTCATCGACACCGTCTCGACGAAAGCCACCAAAACCTGACTATCAGTACCCGCCGGCACCACAACCTCCGCAACCACCAACGGCGGCGGCGCCTCCCTTCCCCCCAGCTTACCAGCCAAAACTTGCTGAACAGCCTGCTCAACCTTCTCCAACTCGATCCTCTGTCCCCTCAACTTCACCTGCGTATCCTTCCTGCCGACAAAAACCAGCGCGCCGTCGACGGGATTATACCTAACCAAGTCGCCCGTCTTGTACAACCGTGACTTGTTCCGTCCCTTCACCGTCCCATCCGGACTTCCCCTCTTCAACCACCCCGGACTCTCCTCCACAAAGCTCTGTGCAGTTTTTTCAGGATCGTTCAAGTACCCGTTCCCAACCAGCGGGCCCTCGAGATAAAGTTCGCCCACTTCGCCAACTTCAACCAGCCGTTCGCTAGACTCGGGGTCAACGATCCATGTGCAGGCTGCTACTCCTTTGCCCACTGATAACTCGTCACCCCCATCTGCGGGGGCAGACTCGGGGGAGATCAAGCCATACATAACCCCCTGCGTCGTCTCCGCCGGTCCATAAGCATTAAACACCTTTCTACTCTGACTCCTCTCACTCCCCTTACTCGCTAACCACCGCCCCCAATCTTTTTCACTTACCCTCTCCCCACCAAGATGCACTTTCCTCAAACTTGGCACTCCCACCCCCTCAACATCCACGGCCCTCGCCACACTTGGCGTAAGAAACGCCATAGTCGCTCCAAACCTTCTCAAACTCACCGTCAGATTCTGCCTTCTTTCCCTTTCGCTAGGGATGCATAGCGTTGCCCCGCAAGCTAAGGTGTGGAAGACGGCCCAGTGGTGCGCGTCGAAGGTGTGTGCTGAGAAATCGTACACGCGCTCGTGGGGGGTCATGTGGATGGAGGAGCGTTGGTGGGTTACGGCTGTGCTAATGTTGCGGTGGGTGATTAAGACACCCTTGGGGAGGCCGGTGGTGCCGGAGGTGAAGACTGTGTAGGCTAGGGAGGAGGATGGGATTTTGGGGAGGGAGGGGGAGGAAGGAAGTGAGGGGTTGGAAGGGAGTAATAGAAGAGGCGAGTCAGGACCGACGACCACGATATTATCAGATAACCTACCAGCGAGGTCCTGCTCTGCCGGTGAGCAGATGACGAAGGGAGCCGAAACTTGCTGTACCACTGACTGCAGGTAAGATACAGGTAAGGTGGTATCGAGCAACAACCCGGCGCCGCCAGCTCTGAGGACCGAGAGGAAGGTGATAGTAGCGTATAGCGACTTTTCGAAGTAGAGGGGAATGATCATATTGCAACAAACGCCCATGCTGACGAGATGCAGAGCAATGTTACTGGTAACCCGCGCCAGCTCACCATAGGTGATCTCGCCATCCCATGCACTGATTGCTATGGCGTCGTCAGGCTGGCGCGAGGCTGTTTCGAGTATGAGCTCGTGAATAGGCCGCTCGACGGTTGAGCAGGATGAGGCGTTCCATTGCCAGATACGGTTGAGGTCCTCTTCAGCGGTCAAGCTGATGGCGCCTAGGCTGGTCTCGTTGTTGCCTGGAGCGCATAGCGTCTTGAGAAGCTTCTCAAAGTCTCCCGCCATTTTCTGAACCTTTGTTTGGTTAATGACGTTCAAGTCAAAACAGAACCTCACCTTGAGCCGACCATCTTCCGGTGTGCAAATCAGTGAAAGGGCATAAGATTGGAAACCACGGTAATGAGCTTCCTCCTCCGCTTCCGTGCACTCACGGGCATCTTCAGGAATGACGAATAACCCCGACTTCGTAATGCTCTCCTCTTGCGGTGCCTGCACGACAACCAGTGTCTGGAACTGACAAGCCCGTTGCGCTTCTCCGCTAATCTGGCGGACAGCGGACAAGCCAGTCTGTTCGTACCGGATCATTTGCGTTTCCTGAGCCTGGATAGATGTGAGGAGCTCCAGTATATTTCTGTCGTTGTTGGTCTTAACACGGATAGGAACAGTGGCAATTGTAGGACCAGGAAGCGTCTCGATGCCAGGCACGGGGGCTTTGCGGCCGGAAGAAACTGTGCCGAAGACGATGTCGGAAGAGGTTGGGCTGGTGTGGAGAGAGCAAAGCAACGCGGATGCGGCGCGGATTACCGTCGACCGGGTAATGTTGTCGGATCGCCAGGTGATGTCTTCAACTGTGTGCACCAGTGTTGAGTCCGACTGCGGTTGATAAGTAGACGATGGAAGAGGAGGGAATGGCGCAGCTTTGAGGTCGGCGAACTGTGATCTCCAGAAGTCGTTCTCTGCTTTCCGGTCTCGCGCGCTGATGTATTTGACGAATGATTGGAATGGAGCAAGTCGTGGTGATGCAATGTCGTTGTAGATGGCCTCAAGCGTTTCCATGATGATAGGCAATGTCAGTCCATCGTACAGGGAGTGGTGCAGCGTCAGGACAAAGTAGGCGGGCTCCTGACCGTCGATCTGAGGCTCAATGATGGCGCATCGCATGAGAGGCCTACCCAGTCCCATAGGAAGCGCGCCCTCCTTCGTCAGATACTCTTCAGTATCTCTGGCATCAATCCACGACTGAGAGTGATCGCGAACGACCACCTGAACGAGACCTTGCCCATCGAGGTCAACGATCCGTGTCCGCAGGATAGGAATTGCGACGACAACGTTGTTCCACACCTTCCTGAACTTGACAACGTCAACCGAAGATGCCAGCTTCAGCACATTGCGACCCGTGTAGCTCCCCTCTTGCTTCACAGTCAGGGCCAACAACCCTTTCTGCAGGGCCGTGCAAGGAAAGATATCATCAACCTGATCTTCTTTGACTCCACAAAGAGGCGCAGCCCGCTGGCAAGCAATCTTGACATCCTTGGTCGGGTCCAGCAGTGAGAACGGAAGGACTGCGCCGTCTTCTTCACTCTCGTCTTCTTTCCTTCGAACGATAACATTGGCCATCTCTTCCAGTGTCGGATACTCGAAAACTTCTGCGACGGAAAGCAACCAGCCTTCCTGGCGGGCTATTCCTACCAGACGCATAGCTTGGATGGAGTCACCTATTTGTAAGAAGCTGTCGCCTAGGGATATGGTTTGAGGTTCGACTCCAAGGGCACGAGACCATAATTCCTGGAGAGTCTTCTCTTCGAGACTTGCGGGCTCTCTCCGTCCAGCACCGCCGGATGTCTGGCGGGATGGATCGAACGAGGCGCCCACCTCACGGAGACGTTTGCGGTCGATTTTGCCTAGACATGAAGAAGGTTAGCGAACAGAAGGCGGTGCCATAAGGCGTTAGAGGCAGGAGATGCTTGCTTACCAGAAGCATTCATAGGAAACTCCTCCACAGCAATGTAATAAACCGGAATCGCATAACTCGGCAACACCCTCTTCAACTTCTCTCTCAACCCGCCGTTCACGGTCGTCGCCCTTTCGACTTCTTCCTCCGTAGCCGGCCCAACAAATGCCACCAGATTCAGCCCAGTACTAGATTGCAACTGAATGCCATCCACCACCACCGTCACCTCCTCTCCCCCGCTTTTCTCAGACACAGGTACCAACAAGTCAAGAAGGTTCCTGCGCACATGGAACTGCACCTCCTCCGGCGCCACCAGCTGGCCCCTAATTTTCAACTGAGCATCCTTCCGTCCCATATACACCAGATTCCCGGCACTATCATACCGTCCCAGATCGCCTGAGTAGTACAGCCTCGTAGCCGTCGTACCCGTTCTCCTTCTCCCACCAAGAAACCCCGCCCAACTCTTAAACCTCTCCTCTGTCATTTCCCTATTCCTCACATACCCCTCCGCACACAACGGCCCCTCAATCACAATCTCGCCCACGGCACCATACGGCACCAGCCGCTTTAACCCAGGAGAAGGATCAACAAGCCAACAAAGCGCCGGCTGCTTCAGGTCAACCCGACTCACCACCCCCGTGCGCCACGAGTCCACGTCCGCCTTGCATATTGTAGCCGGGTGCTCAGCTGGCCCGTACCAATTCAGCACCTCCACCTCCTCCCCTGAAACCCCCTTGCAGTTCTTCCACCGATCAACATCATCCCTCACCAAATTCTCCCCCGACAAAACCAGCGTTTCAACAGTTGGCACCGACCCAGGCACGATAGCTTTAGCAGTCGAAGGCGTGATATTCATATACGTGCACCGGAACTTGTTAATAGCTTCTGCGATACCATCTAGCCGCTCAGATTCTGAGGGAATACAGATGGTTGCGCGGTGTATGAGCGCGGAAAGCGACTCGATGGTGCTGACGTCGAAGTCGTACGAGGCGAACTGGAAGATGCGCGAGTGAGAGGGGGTGATACGAAGATAGGAGCCGTGGGCGAGGAGGTTGGCGGTTAGAGTGCGATGGGACCAGAGGACTTGTTTGGGCTCGCCGGTGGAGCCGGAGGATACGAGGATGGCTGCGGGGTCTTGGAGGGTTATCATGGGTAAGGTTGGGAGGGAGGTGTTGGGTTGGGAAGGAGAGGTAGACAGGAGCTGGGGGATGGTGTAGCTGGGGGCGTAGCAGGAGACCATTTCTAGGCGGGATTCTGAGACAACGGCGAGGACGACGTCGGCCATTTGGAAGACTTTGCTGATGCGCAGGTCGGGCACGACGGTGGAGAGTTGGACTTCGATGCCGCCGGCTTTGAAGATGGCGAGTTGAGCTATTGGTGCCCATCTGGTCTTTTCAAAGTTCAGGGCGACAACGTTGCCTTTCTTGACGCCCAGATGTATCAAGCTCTGAGCGAGCTTAGTGGAGAGCTTGTCAACTTCTTGATATCTGAAATGCCCATCCCAAGCATCGATAGCGATAGCATTGGGATTTGTTCGTGCCGCCAGGGAAACTAGATCGTGGACACAGGCATCAGGATCCTCTGGGACTTCGGCATTCTGTGCCCAAAAGAGATCCAAGTCATCCGGACTAGCAATCTGGACATTGCCCAGTTGAACCGTGTTATTGCTCCCTGAGCAGCACATCTGCCTCAGGACCGTCTCAAACTGTTTCGCCATGCGTCCAATCTGCAACTTGTCGATAACGTTGCCATCAAAGCTCATCCGAAGCTGCAATCCAGATGTTGAAAGCTCACAAACCACCATCAAAGCCCAACTGTTGAAGGGATCATGGCCCAGCGTGTCCATGTTGGATGAAAAGCTACGAGCTTTGAACAGGAGATTGTCCTCGTTGAAACTCTTTCCTTCAGCCACTGGTTGCACGACGAGCAGCGTCTGCAAAAGCCGGGACTCAGCCAGTTCCTTGTGAAGTCGTTGGATGTTCTGAAGGCCGTACTGCTCGTGCGGTGTGATGTCTATCATCTGCTGTTGCATGCGCTGGAGGAAGGCTTTGACTGTCTCGGTCCAGTCAACGGACACTGCGATGGGTACTGCGGAAATCGTGGGACCAGCGCAGTTCTCGACACCTCTCATGTTGGCTTGCCTGCCACTGACTGTCAGGGCAAAGATGACATCGTCTGAAGACGTGTACTGAGTCGCTAGGATAGCCCAAGCAGCGCGGATCATGGTTGAAGGCGTCATGCCGGTTCGCGGCCAGTCGAGGGATATGGAATGTTGCAAGTCATCCTTGGCCTGTGTTTGGTAAGTGGCTGACGGTAGAACCGGGAACTGTCTGGGCTCGCCTTTTGAGAGCTGAGCTTTCCAAAAGTCGACGGCGTCTTGGGGGACCTTGTCGCTTAAATGCTTGATGAAGTTCTTGAATGGTGTAGCTGTCATCCCGGGTGCTCCAAGATATTGAGACCCCAGCTCGTTCATGATCATCTTGAGAACTTGGCCGTCGTATATGGAATGGTGAACCGAGAGGATGAAGTGTCGGTCAATGATGGCGGCTCGGCAAAGTTCGGTGCCGGGTCCCATGTGATTGAGCTCATCTTCATGAACATACGCGTCCACATCTGTGCCATAAGACGATAGGGGGCAGTTATCGAGAACGACCTGCACGAAGCCTTGACCAGGTAGATCCACGATCCGAATTCTGAGAGTAACCAACTTGTCAACGGTGGACAGCCAAGCTTGCTCCAGGTGTTCTATGTTAATGTCAGGCTGGAGTTCAAAGACACTGCGAGATACGTAAAGGCCAGGCTTTCTGGCGCCTAACGCAAGCAGTCCTTCTTGAAGAGGAGTAACGGGGTAGATATCGACAATTCGAGCCTCGTCAATCCCACACAGCCTGGCAGCGCAAGACCGAGCCTCGGTCTCACTGACGCCAGAGTCAAGCAGGGAAAATGGAGGAACTTCGAGCTCATGTTCCGGAGAATCGCGGTCTTGCTTGACCCGTATTGCCATGTCTTGGAGGCATGGGGCTTCAAAGACATCCGTAACTGTCAGAAGGAGCCTGCGTTTGTGAATAGCCGCGACTAAGCGCATAGCAGCAATGGAATCGCCGCCTAGACGCAAAAAGTTGTCTGTGGCATTAATGACACTTGCTTCAATGCCAATAACTTCAGCCCAAAGATCTCGAAGTTGCTTTTCCATAGTTGTGGAAGGCTTCCTTGCCTCTTGACGAGAGGGTTGCATCGACGCAAGCTCTTCATACGTCAAGGAGCGCCCAATCTGTCGAAGTCGTCGTCTATCCATCTTTCCAGTGTGAGAGATTGGTAGAGTCTGAATAGGGATATAGACCTTGGGGATCATGTAAGAGGGTAAAACCCTTGACAGATCTGTCTCCAGGTCGTCCACTAAAAGCTTGGACTTGACCAGAGCCATGGCATCCTCTTCTGATCTGGAGGGGCTAACAAAGAGAGCCAAAGTCTCGAAATTGCTGTTGGCCGGGGTTATAATCTCGGCAACCACCGAGACTTCAAGTTTTCCGGACACGAAAGACTGCACTCTCGATTCGATCTCACTCAGCTCGACTCTCTGTCCACGCAGTTTCCTTTGGGATTCCTGCAACCGACCGATGAAAACAATGTCTCCATTGCCACCGTACTTCACCAGATCACCCGTTCTGTAGAGGCGTCCAGTCCGGCCGGGAATCTCACCATGACCGTGCTGAAGCCATGATGGAGAGAAAAATGACTTTTCGTTCAGAGCAGAACCGCCGTCGCCAGTATAGGCACCTAGGATCGGGCCTTCCATACACAACTCGGCAACTGCACCGATAGGGGCCAGCTGATTTGGGTCCTTGGGGTCAACCAGCCAGGTCAAGCCGGACGTACTTTTGCCAATCAAAGCTGGCTTCCACGTCTTTTGGTCTACACGACAAAAAGTAGCGACGGAAGCCTCAGCTGGACCGTACCAGTTGTACACTGAATCGATGGATCCAACCCACTTAATGGCGGTCTTTTGTGGCAACTTTTCACCTGCAAAGACGATGGTCTTCAATCCAGGAACTCCTTCAGGTGTGATTGTTTCGGAAACCGAGGGTGTAAGACAGATCCAGTTGGCGCGAGTCTCGTCGATGGTTCCGGCAAGATGATTGGTCCTGTCCGACTCAGACGGAACTATGCAACAAGCGCCTGAAGCCAAGGCGGACAGAGCTTCGACTGTGCTCACGTCGAATTCGTATCCGGCGAACTGGAATATCCTGCTTGTTGAGTTAACATCAAACGAGAGGCTGTGTGCTCGGATGTTGCTCGATAATGTCTCGTGGGTCCAAAGGATGGATTTTGGAGTCCCTGTCGAACCGGATGTGAAGAGGATCAGGGCTGGGTCCGAAGGTAGGATCTCAATGGGATCGAGAACATGAACCCAGTCAGCGGATTCAACATCGTCTTCAATCAGGCTGGAAATAGAGTAGACCGGCACGAGTCCTTCAAAGAAGCCAGGTCCGAAGGGGCACTCGAGGTGATGACAAGCTTAGGCTTTACAGCCTCTGTTACCTCTCTAGCACGCTGAGGTAAAATAGGTGCGGAGAGGGGCATGACAACGGCACCGAGCTTTAGAGCAGCTAGCATGGTGACTAGCTGCCAGCCAGACTTTTGAAAGCTCAACACGATGATGGATCCTTTGCCCACTCCATGGTCTTGACGTAGACTATTGGCAATGCAGTTTGACAGGTCTTTGACTTGACGGTATGTCAACTCCTGGTCCCAGGCGGCAATAGCTGTAGCATCTGGGTCAATGGATGCCCTGTTATCGATGGTCTCTGTGACAAGGCCTTGGACTGGATCAGGGAGGGCTCTGTTCCAGTTCCAGATCTGGGTGATGTCCTGGGGACTGAGGGGGGTGATATCGCGTAGCTTGGAGTGAGCCAGGTTGACGGTACACAGTTGACGGAGAAGATACTCAAGCTGAAAAGCCGTACGTTGGACAGCAGCCTCCTCGATGATGGCCGAGTCAAAGTTGATCTTGAGTGTCAGACCGCTGTCCTCCAACTGGACGATGGCCATGATGGCGTACGAGTTGTACATGGCCAGACTGTCGGCGTCTCCATCCTTGGCCACCAGTGTCAAGTCACCACTACCACCACTGCTGACCACGCTCTTTGCCTTTGAGAACAGGTCATCATGATTGGTCTTCTTCCGCTGTGGCTGGATGATGAGCAGCAGCTGGAATTGACTGGCCTCGGCGACGTCTTGACTGATGCGCCGGATGTTCTGGAGGCCATATTGTTCATGGGCGGTGACGTCGACGGCCTGCTGCTGGATCTGTTGCTGCAATTGCTGGACAGTGTGGTCCCAGTTGAACTTGACGCGGACGGGGATTGTGGCAATGGTTGGGCCGGCGATGCGGTCGATGCCAATGACGGGAGCATTTCTTCCGCTGACTGTTTCGCCGTATTTGACGTCGTTGGAGTTGGTGTGCGCGGCTAACAGTAACGTGAGCGCTGAACGGACTGCTGAAGAGGGCGTAATCCCGGCGTTGGTCGGCCACTGTAAATCCGCTATCGGGTGATGCAGGTCCACTAAAGCTCTCTTCCCAGCGGGGTCAGAGCTGTTAGTGACTGCTGGAAATACAGCAGCCTCGGAGTCTGCCAGCTGGTCGCGCCAGAATGCAACAGTGTCTGACCGGCTGTTGCCAGCTGCCCTAGAAACGGCATGCTTGATAAACCGCTGATGGGGAACAAACAACGGGCCTCTCTCCTCCTTCAACTTCCCTCCTTCACGATACGCCTTCTCAACCGCTTCCATGATCAACCCATTGGAAAACCCATCAAAGATGGAGTGATGCATCTCCAGGGCAAAATAGCAAGTCTCGCTCTCCATTTTCCCAATCAAGCCTGCGCGACATAATGCTGTTCCCAAGCCCATGGAAGTCGACCCAGAGAAGAAGTCGGACAGGGACGGGCATCTCCAGAGTGACCTGTTCGAGTCAACAACAACCTGGACAAGACCGTCTCCGGGAAGATCGACGATGCGTGTCCGGATGATGGATGCTTGCTTAGCCATGCTTTCCCAGGCCACCTCAAGCCGTTCCAGATCAACCTGTCCGAGTGGTGGCAGTTCAAAGACAGTCCTCGAGACATACTCTGCTCCATCAGCCAACATGCCTTCCTGTAAAGCGGTTACAGGGAAGACATCTTCGACTTCATCTGGGCTGATACCACAGAGCTCAGAGGCCACTTTCCGGATGACTTGGACGTCTCTTTCCACAGACAGCAACGAGAACGGCAGAGTGTCGAGATCATCGTCCTCGTTATGTGGCAGAGTTCCTCCTTGAGCATTCGAGTCAGCGACCAGGGCAAGGCTGCTCAAAACTGGGCTGGTGAAGATATCGGCAACAGTCAACAAGATGCCATGATCCCGTGCCACCGCAACCACTCGCATGGCACCGATCGAGTCACCTCCCAGCTGGAGAAAGCTGTCTGCTGTGCTGATGCGAGTTGGGTCCAAGCCAAAGACATCACCCCATATCTTGCGAAGCCGTGTCTCTGTGCCAGTTGTGGGCTCATGGTACTTTGTCGCTGCCATGATGGTTGATTGTAGATGAACAATCTCGTCCCAGCTCATTGTGCTTCCCATATCCCTTAGGCTACGTCGGTCCACTGTGGTTACTGTTAGTGCTGACAACTAATACACAGAGACTCAAAGGGACGACCAAGTCAGCATACCTTTACCCGTACTGGCGACGGGAATCTTGTCGATGGGAAGATAGACACTGGGGATCATAAATGCCGGGAGAACCTCCCGCAACTTATCTCCCAAGTCGTCCATCAGAGCCTTGACTCTTTCGCTGTCTTGGTTCTTCGTCGCGACAAAGAGAGCAAGAGATTTCGTCTCACTGCCCTTGGGCACGATAACGTCGACAATGATGGGAATTTGGTCATCCAAACAGGCACGCACATGGTGCTCAACGTCACCAATCTCAACCCTTTGTCCCCTGATCTTCAGCTGAAACGAGTCTTTCCGACCCACAAACATCAATCGTCCATCAGGCAAATACTTGACAAGATCACCCGTCTTGTACAGTCTCCCTCGCCTGCCACCAGCGACCAGCCAAGGAGGATCCTCAACGAATGATTCGGCTGTCTTCTCCCGGTCATTCAAATACCCTTGGCCGACCTGAGGGCCCTCGAGCCACAACTCACCCTCCGATCCTATGGGCACAAGGCGATTGTTATCCACCGGATCAACAAGCCACGTAGCAAAGCCCACACCTCTTCCGATATCCGGACGGCCCTCCAGCAAGGGACTGATATCGGAAAAAGCACACTTAAAAGTGCACTCGGTCGGACCATACGTATTGACAAGTCTCACTTTACCAGCCCATTTCGTGATGTTCTCGCGATACGGCATCTCGCCGCTCAAGGGAACCGTCTCCAGACATTCTGGGATAGGATGGATGGTGCGCAAGACCGTGGGAGTGACGTTGATCAAGGTCGCGTTGAAGGCCGTCACCGCCGCCGAGAGATCCGTCAACATGGCCTCCTCGGACGGGATACACAGCGTCCCGCCCGCACAGAGCGTATGAAGAAAGTTGCCCCATGCAACGTCGAACGAGTAGGGGGCAAAGTCCAGGACACGGGTTTTTGGGGTAAAGCCCAACTTGGCGCCCTGGTAGTGAGAAGCGCTTCGGACGTTGGCGTGGCTGATGCAAGCACCTTTGGGTTGGCCCGTTGTTCCTCTGTGCGATTTTGTCAGTTTTATGATGTCCACTAGTACAAGAACTGGGGACGACATACGAAGTAAACGAGATATACGCAGTATCATCCGGCGGCACCACAGGCAACGGCAACTCAGACAAGTGCCCCTCCTCAGCGCCATCCTCCTCCAAGACCACATCATCAAGCTGCAACACCTCCAAATCCACACTCGCCACCAAAGAAACTGCCCTCTCCCGATGCCTCTCAGAAGAGATAACAAGTCCACGCCCAGGCCTTGCAACAACCTGCTCCACAATCGACTTCAGCCTGCCATCAGGCTGCGTAGCATCCAGAGCTATGGCACTGCACCCGGCCTTCAACACAGCCAGCATAGCCACGGGAGTCCATTTCGACTTGGAGAACAGGAGGGGGATGCTCGATTTTGGGGCGATGCCGTGTTGTTGGATGATCAGTTTCCGGGCAACCTTGGTGGCTATGGCGTCCAGTTCCGAGTAGGTGAAATTGCCGTCCCAGGCGCATACGGCTGGAGCGTTCGGCTGGTGTTCGGCGTGGAAGGTAATTTGGTCGTGGATGCTGCCGCGTATTTGGTTTGGGACGGAGCCGTTCCAGGCCCAGATTTGATGGAGGTCTTCGGGACTTGCTGCTGGAGGAGATGTCGTACAACCATCTTCCTCTGGGTTTGAAGCTCGAACAGAGTCTATCGTCGGCATGGCTGAGCTGTTGAAACCGTCTTTGCTTGGATCTGCCATGATGAATGCCGATTGACATCCGGCAAGTCTCCAACAGGTAGGTATTGTTGTGTCGATTTTGCCTGAGTCGCTGCTTGATTTGAAGCTTCTGTTCGACAAGAGACGCACCGAAGCCCAGCGAGACCTACAACTGACTGTCCGATACCAGATTGTATGACCTACGTATGTCCCACTTCCGTGCTCAAGATATCACCATCTAGGCTCAAGTTTATCCGCAAAGCAGTCGTACGTAAGATTAACACGCTCACCTCATTGCGCTACGTACTACGAGATGCCTCCACGACATGAGGCTCATCCTCGGCCCTCCTCCTCCCCCCTCAAAAAGAAGCCAGTGCTGATCACCGTCACACGCTAGAGTAATCCCACGGTGCATTCCATTCCGGGTGTTATTCAGTGGTCACAGTGCCTATAAACTCTCGAATCCAAGCCACTGGAGTGGATTTCTTTAGCGTTACAACAGGAAGGAAGGAACGGAATCCCTCCACAAAATTAGTGCTACGACGCTGAAAGTAGCACTGTACACTACATACAGGGATCGGGAATGGAAGGATCGTGATTGTTCAACGATCGATTGACGAACGATTGTGTGAAGCACAATAAGACGTTTTTGACCTTCCTTTCCAGGCTGGAATTGCCCCATCTGAAAGGGGTCTCCAAGTCCGAACTCATGATTTGTGATTCTCGGAGTTCGGATTCTGTACCTCTTGAGCACGTAAAACTTGTCCGGAATTTGGCAAGATTTTTTTTCCCATTCGTCACAGACGGAAGCGGCAAAAACATCCGCGGATTACGTCCAACTTACTATCTATGTCACAACGTACTACCTAGAATCTTACAACAAGTCACCTTCCAGAAAGGATGATATGTTTCTAGGTGAGGTAGGTAGGTAGATAGCCTTGTAGTTCTCTATCTGGGTTTCATCCTGCAGATGACCAGGTACAGGTCACGGAGTTAAATGACAAAGAGAAATGGTACGATACCCATGGCTGACATGATGTTCCCCTCCCAAGCCGTACTGTACGTCACAGGTCATCTCGATCCTCAAGTTTGTTCCCGGTGTATCTTAGGCCGAGAATACATCGGCATGTTTATCCTACCTACTGAAGCATAACACGGCGTTGCTGTGAAGTCTCAAGAATCGTACGAGGAAATCCCAGCGAGACGAGCGTCGTTGGGCTCTGTCTGATATTACCTCACCCTCACCCTCAACCCTCACCCTCACCTTCAACCTCGCCATCCATCCTACAATCTTATTTTTTGTCCTTGTTTTCCTGTGTACCTCAAGTCCAGTTCTCCAAGTTCTCTCCCCGAACGGTCGTCAGTCGTAACCATGACCACCACCACCACCACCACCCAACTCGACTTCTCCCTCTTCCACAGCTCCAACCCAGCAGTCCGCGCTGCCTTTTGCAAGAAACTGGTATCCCAGCTCCAACAAAATGGTTTCGCGAGATTAACCAACCACGGCGTTCCTGCGTCGGAAATCGACAAGGCTTTTGAGACTGTGTGTCGTCCCGTCCCAACTCACTTCCCATCCCCATCCCCCATCCATCTACCAACTAATTATCACCAAACCCCCATCCCAACTAACAAAAAAATGACTAAAATAGTCCAGACACTTCTTCCACCTCCCCCTCCCCCTCAAACTCCTCTCCCCGCACCCTCCCACCGTCCATCCACACCGTGGCTACTCCGCCTTTGGGATCGAGAACGTTTCCGCCGCTTCTGCAACCCTCCTCTCTTCCTCCCCGACAGCAGTCCCGAAACTTCTAAAAGACATGAAAGAATCCTACGACATCGGATCCCCCTCCGACCCGCTTTACGGCAACATCTGGCCTCCCCCCGCCCAGGTGTCGTACGGTGATGAGTTCAGAAAAGCGATGGAGGGGTTTTTTGGTGTTTGTTATAATGCGGAACTGGATGTTTTGGAGGCTATTTCTTTGGGGTTGGGACTCAGACAAGAAGGGGGCTTGAAAGGATTGCATAGAGATGGAACGAATGAGTTACGGTTGACGCATTATCCTGCTGTTAGGGTGGGGGAGTTTGGGTGTGCGTCTGAGGGGAACGGGAAAGGGGAGACGGGGAAAGGGAATAAGGAAGCAAAAACGAGGATAGCGGCTCATACGGATTTTGGGAGCGTGACGTTGTTATTTCAGGATAGTGTTGGGGGACTTCGTACGTTTTTCTTCCTCTTTCCAACCTCTACCTACCTTTCAAGCTGGCACAGCATGATGGCTAACAACTTACACCAAAAAAAAAAAAACAGAAGCAGCAATCCCCCCGAAATCTTCCAACTTCATCGAGATCGAATCAGGAAACCCGCACGAGATCATCCTTTTGGTAGGTGACTCCCTCGAGAAGTTGACGGGTTTGCCGGCTTGTAGACATCGGGTGCATTTACCTGATGCGCTGAAGACCGAAGGAGAAGAAGAAGAAGAAGAAGAAGAGGAAGAGGGTGAAGTAGAGGCAAGGTTCAGCATTGCGTACTTTGGCAAGCCGGACAGGGAGGCGAGTTTGAGGCCGTTGGTAGAAGGGTTGGTCAGGGAAGGGGTGGAGAAGTACATGACGGCGGGGGAGTTTCAGGAGATGAGGATTCAGGGGACTTATTAGACTGTCTAGGGGTGGTGTTCTAAAAGGAGGAAGTGCAAAAGTTATTGAGATGAGGGCGTGTGGGACGTGTGGAAGTTGTGTCTAGTTCCGCCTAGCTGTAATATCAAGGAGCGTCTACCTATGGAAAACATGAGCTTCGAGTTCGACTTCCTACAAGTACCAGCCAACACTCCTAGCAATTTGTCGAAGACGACGCAAGTGATTGTTATGGACGCGCTGGGGTGGTTTTGCTCACCAGAGTTGTATTTGGCGATTTGAAAAGGACACGAGTGCGTAACCAAACAAGTCTGCGGCTTAATCAGATGTTGGAGTGCCATCTACCAAATACTGGAATTATTTCCTCGGTCTGGGTGTGCTTGGCCGCACGTATGACCGTAGATGATTGCAATCTATGGCTTGAAGATCTTATGCGATTGCCGATGGAATGGAAAAATCTGCACCCGAACACATGGGTCGCTTTGCTTGATCCAGGAATTCCTTAAGCTTGAAAGGTAAATATTACTAAAAGTCTAACAAGCTCAAAGGAGCTTGATTCCCTACATCCCGCCGACCGAGCTCGTCATTTTCGTTTTCTCATTCAGTCCCTTTCAACCCGACTCATCTCCCTATTCGCCCTCAAACTTCTTGTCACAGCCTCACCCACCAGCCTCGGAAATCCACCCTCCATCATATGGTTAATAGCCTTCTCCGTGCTTCCTCCCGGCACACAAACCTCCTTTCTCAACACCGAAACCGGCCTATCACAGTCCCGTTTCGACAACATGCCCGATCCCAAACACGACTGCACCACCAGCTCGCGCGCCGTCTCGCTATCTAGTCCGTGAGCTTCCGCGGCGGCGACGAGAGATTCAATTAAGAAGTAGAAGTGTGCCGGGGCAGATCTGTTTTTTCTCGGTGGTTAGCGTTATGATCCCCTTCACCATTTTCCTCTGTGTGGCAGGTAGGCAAAGTGGCCAAGGAAAAGTAGGTACTCACCCAGAAATAGCAGCAACAATATCCAACTCCTCCTCTCTCCCCAACACCACCGCTGCCGGACTAACCAACCTCACAACATCCCTCACTACCTCAGTCCTCTGTCCCCTCGCGTTCTCGCAGGGAAACAACCCCGTGGCCCCCTCGCGCACGGTAACCGGCAAGTTAGGCATCGACCGCACTATCGGAGTGCCAGCAGGTAGCCAGCTCTGCAGTTGTGCCACGGAGATTCCCGGGCACATGGTTACTATCGTTGGCCTTGCCGTTGAGGGAGAGATGGTAGCAATGGCTGGTGCAATTTGCCTGCAGACGGAGGGGACGTCGATGGGGAGCGTGCAGATGAAGAGGACGTGGTGGTAGGTTTCTACATCTTCTGGGGTCTCCCAGATGAGAGGGTCGAGGTTGTCAAGGGTGACGTGCGCAAGGGGGTATTTGGTTTGCAGCTGGCGGAGGTGCTCGGGCCGTCGGGCGGTGATGGTTATGGGACATGGCTTTTTGTTGTTGATGGTGGTACTGTGTTTCCAGAGGTTGTTGCTGTTGCTGTTGTTACCGGTGGTTGAAAAGGAGGCGTAGATGCCGTCAACAAAGGCCTGGGCAAGGTGGCCGCCGCCGATGAAGGTGAGACGGTCCGGGGCTACTGCCGGAGTGTCGCCCGTGGCGGAGAGGGGAGGAGAGGATGGGGGTGAGTCCATTGTGGATGCCGGTGGTTCGTTTTCTTGTGTGAAAGATTATCCGGTGCGGAGTTGAGTTAAGTGTGCTAGTTTGAAGATAGCATTCTGTTATAAGACACATGGTGAGAGTTCATCTCGACGACCTTCCACAAGTGTTCCAGACGTCATCCCATCCTTTCGCAATTTCATTGCTCAAAGAGGCAGCATGTACAGTACCTCTGTGGCACCGGACAAAGGTTCATGATACCCCTAAACGGTTGTAAACAAACACAGTGTATCTTGGCAATTCCTCGACGAGGTATGTGTATCAGTTCATGCGAACCGTCCACCATGAGCCTACCTTCTGCATAAGGCAAAGATATGCGGAAGGTATCACCAAGGTCACCTAAGATTCGTTTGTCCCCGACGGGGATGTCTCCGAGATCCCGGTCTCGGGTTGTTGGCGGAATGGTACCTTCTCTGTAGGGCTAATCGCCTCGGATCCTTCAGTGCTACGGTAGCATTCTAGTGTTCTCGTCAGGTCTCATTGACCACTTGGAAAGAACGTCTCGGACGCTGGCCTGCCCCGTAAGGCCTGAGTGCTTAGCGCTTACATGAGGCAACCGCAGATTCTTGATCTGCTGTAGCGTAGTGGTGGTGAATGGTGTAGTTGGTGTTGACGACATCCTCCACGTTTGGAGAATGAGGTTGAATGGAGACATATTTGTCAACACACGACAGGGGAAGCGATGAGAGTCTGTCTGACGTGAAGAAAGAATCCCTAGTACTTACGTTTTTCCCATGTTCGTTCGACCACGCTCAAGACAAGGAAGGACCTCAACAATGCCAAGCGAAGACACCATGGACCTTCCTTCCTCTACGGAGCGATCACCACTCCTTTACCACGGTGGCTTCTTCCCCACGCACCCGCCCATCGTGAAAGTCTCAGACCACGAGCAGCGGGCCGCAGCATCTCATCAACAGGAAGTGGAACACCAAGACCGAATCTCCCCACCCGAGTCCGAACCATGGACCCGCCCCGCCTTTCTAACCGCATCCCTCTGCACCTCCTTCCTCATCCTCTTCGCCATCGCCGACCTTCTCCGCTGGGTCTCAACCACCCGCCTCCTCGAGCTCGGCATATGCCGTGAATACTACCATAACCATACCCGTGACCATTCAAGGTCCTCCAACATCCCGATCCCGGACTCCCCGGACTCCCCGGACTGCACCCACCCCGCAATCCAATCCCGCCTCGCCACCCTCCGCGGCACCCTCTCCGCCCTCGAAGCCTTTCTCTCTCTATGTCTGACCCTCCCCTACGGCCTTCTCGTGCCCGCATCCCCCGGCGGCGAACGCTCCCTGGCGGGCCTCAACGTCCTCGGCTACCTGTTATCATGTGGGTGGCTGATGATCGTCTGCTCCTCCTCCTACAGGTACCCTGACAACACATTTCCCGGCGGTGTAAACACCACGATATGGGCGCCGGTATTGAGGGTGTTGGTCGGGGGAGGAGCGCCGGTGCTGAGTAGTCTGGTGTATGCGATTGCTGCGAGGGGAGTCCCAAAGCAGAAAAGGGCGAGCGTGTTTATGGTGTTTGTGGGTGCGCAACTGGGGGCTGGGGTGGTGGGCATGTTGGGTGCTGCGGCGTTGTTGGATCGGGGACGAGAGATGGCGGCCATGGGCTTGAATTTCCCGCTTGGGGTAGGGTGTTTGGTGGTTTTGTGGTGCTTGCCTGGTTCGAGAAAGGGGGAAAGAAGGGGTGGAGGTGGTGGAGGTGAGGGAGAAGGATTGTTGAATGGTGGTGAAAGGGAGTCTGATGGTGATGGTGATGTCAACAAACACGTCACCATGACCTTGTCCTTGTCATCGTTGTTGTCCTCCGGCAAGCGAAGCACCGCTGTTCTGTCTGAGCTACTCGCCCACGACCGTAGGGTTCTCGTCCTGTTGGCCACCATCCCTATAGCCAAGTGTATCAACCCTGTCGAGGAGTTGATGGTCCAGTACATCCCGAAACGGTTCGACATCTCCTTGGCCTCTGTAAGTTCTGCTTCTTCTTCTTCCACCTCCCCGTCCTCTATACTCCTTTGTATCTAGAAGAAATCTAACCCACCTAACCACAAACAGGCCTCCCGGTCTCTAACCATATCCACTCTCGAATCCCTTCTCCTCCTTCTTTTCATCCTCCCCTTCCTCAAATCCGCCGCGCAGACCCGCTTCCACATCCCTTCCACAAAGGTAGACCTCTACATTGTCCGGTCCGGCTTCCTCCTCCAAGGTCTCGGCTGTGTCATCATGGCCATGTCCCCAACTCTCGTTGTCTTCATACTGGGCCTTATGGTTCTCGCATTGGGGTGTTCTACTCGGGCAGCCTTGCAGTCGCTGTTGACGGACTTGGTGGGTAAAACTGAGCATATAGCTGTTTTGTATACTGTTATTGCACTGGGAGATGGGATCGGGTCGGCGGCTGGAGCGTTGTTGCTTAATCGGGCACTGGCAATAGGCATCAGCTGGGATGACAAGAAGTATATGGGGTTGCCGTTTGTGGTGGCTGCCGTATTGTTCTTGGGGGGCGTTTGGGGGGCGGTGAGTGTGCCAGTGAGAATGCAGAGGAGGAGGAGGGTGAGTAGTGCTTCCTGTGCATCTGGGAGTGTAGAGGAAGGAATGTAGACTCAGAATTCTTTCATGAAAGCCAAACAAATGTTTCTTTGCCCCAGCTGTTGACCAGCCGTTTCAAGCAGATAGAACTAATGCTCTCCGTGACTCCTTTGCTTTCAACCCCTCCCAACCCTCTCAACCCCCTGCCCCTTCACCAGCTCCCAATACCTCCCTCCCTCCCCCTTCCCAGCCAACTCCCGATGCGTGCCCACTTCCACCACTTTGCCCTGATCAAAGACAAAAATGACATCCGCCTTCTGAATTGTGCTCAACCTATGCGCCACCGCAATCGTCGTCCTGCCTTTCGCAGCAGCGTCCAAAGCCGCTTGCACCACCTTCTCGCTCTCGCCATCCAAGGCGGACGTGGCTTCATCCAGCAACAAAATCTTGGGGTTGCGGATAAGCGCTCGAGCGATGGCGATCCGTTGCTTTTGCCCGCCAGAGAGCATGCTGCCTTTGGAGCCGACGGGGGTATTGAGGCCTTCTCTGTTTTGGGGTACATGGGTAGTCAGAGTACGTCTGATGGGGATAATAGGGACAACATGACGAGGAATGTTGGGTAGAAGGGGATGTGGAGAACGTACGGTAAAGACATGATCAAATCGTAAATATTAGCCTCCCTACAAGCCTGTAGGACATACTCATCTGACACATCCGGATCCGGACTGCCCAAGCAGATATTCTCGCGAATCGTCCCCTGATAAAGCGTCGGCTCTTGGCTGACGAGGGCCAGCTGGCTTCGGTACGAGTTCACGTTCAGCTGCGAAATGTTCTTCCCGTCGACAAGGATTTCGCCGCCCTCGAGGACGTCGTAGAAGCGCTCTATTAGGGAGATGGCTGTGCTTTTGCCGCTGCCGCTGGCACCGACCTGTTGCGTTGCTTCTGTTAGTATGAACTCTCAAGGTATGGCTTGGATGTGGGAAGTGAAGAGGGGGAGGCGACAAACCAATGCGGCATATTGTCCAGGCTTAACAGTGAGATTAATCCCCTTCAGCACCGCCTGTCCAAGGCGTGTGGGGTATCGAAAATGCACGTTGCGGAATTCGACCAGGCCTTGGATTTCATCTTGGAGACTCTCGCCGCTTTCGGACCATGTATCGATGGTCGGCTGACGGTCAAACAACTTCTTGAACTCGGCCGCTGCGCTCTTGGCCTTGGCCATATCGGGCGCGGTAGAAAAGATGGAGCCAGCAGCGTTGGCGCCAAAAAGAACCTCGGTGAAGCACACGTAGAACTGAAAGACGGTGTATTCGTGCTTACCGAGGAGCATGCCGCCGTACCAAAAGGCGAGGGCGGTACAGAAACACTGCGATGTAAATCGGTCAGTACAACGGATCTGAATCGTCGGACCTAAGGACATTAGGTGGAGATGAACTCACATAAACACCCTGACTCAACGCATAAAACCCGGAGCTCTTCAAACTCAACACCAGCGCATCTTTAGCCTGCCTCTTCAGTTGCCCCCTATAATTCCTCAACACATCCTCCTCCCTACAAAGCGACGCAACCGTGCGTATCGCCGCCGTTGCCTCGCACGCATAACTCGCCGAAGCCTCGTATGCCGTCCTTGACTCAGCCTGGAACCTAGCCAACATGGAAACACGCCAAAACCCACAAGCCAAGATAACGGGCACGACGGAGATACACACCAGTGCCATCTTCCACCCCACCGCCAGGGCGATCACGAGCGACGCGACCAACGAGGTGCTGATCATCAGTATCGTGCCCAGCGTGGCACCGCTGATGCCGGCTAGGTGCTTCGTCTCCGTCGACAGGAACGAGATCAGCGCGCCCGTGGTGTTTTCGTCCCGGTCAAAAAAGGATACGTCTTGCCGGAGGATGGTCCGGAAGGCCTGGGCGCGGGCGCGTGAGAGCAGCTTTTCGGCGCCGATGCCGAGGATGATGCCGTGGATGGTGACGGTGATGAGGTAGACGAGGCCTAGCATCAGGAGCATGAGCGCCCAGAAGTCGGTGTCGTGGCGGAGCTTTGGGTAGAGAGAGGGGGGCAGGGAGAGAGTGGAGATGGCTTTGGAGTAGATTATGGCTTGCGCGGGTTGGCCGCCGCCGGAGAGGATGATGAAGATGACTCCTAACGCCATCAGTTTGGCTTCGGGTCGGTTGAAGGAGGCGATGAATTTCATTAGGGTGAGTAAGCCAAGTTTCTTTGCCTTGGTGGTTTGTGGCTCCAAAGTGACTGTAACTCCTTTCTCTGTCGGTATATGGGTGAGGTTTGTAGCGGAGACTGTCAAATCCATAGCCTCCTGCTTAATGTCTATCTCGCTTCCGTCATCTTCGGTAGTCTGAGCGCCTTTTCCTTTGTCCTGGTCAAGGCGTTGTGCTTCCACAAGTTTAGCATAATCACCGCCAGCATCTAATAACTCATCGTGGGTCCCTTGCTCTACGATCCTGCCGTCAACCAGAACGACAATATTGTGAGCTGACTTGATCGTCGATAGCCGATGTGCGATGAAAATAGTGGTACGCCCTTTGGATGCTTTGTCAAGAGCGGCCTGGACAATCTTCTCTGACTTGGTATCCAGAGCCGAGGTTGCTTCGTCCAGGAGTAAAATCTTGGGGTCGCTGATTATAGCCCGTGCAATAGCGATACGCTGCTTCTGGCCACCCGATAGTAGAAATCCTTGTGCGCCCACATTAGTTTGGTATCCATCTGGTAGAGAGGTAATGAATTCGTGGGCATTGGCCATCTTGGCCGCTTCCTCAACCCGATCACGGATCCTTTCTTCAGATTCTTGCTCGAAAGAAGTCCCGATGAGACCAAACTTGATGTTCTCGAAGATACTTGTGGAGAACAAGATGGGCTCCTGGCTGACAAGCGACATTTGTTGCCGAAGCCATCGCAGGTTGAGGGAGTCAATATTATGGCCGTCTAGTAGAATTTTACCGCTGACCGGATGGTAGAAGCGCTCCAGTAGTCCAATAACTGTACTTTTTCCGGAACCAGAAGGGCCTACAAATGCAGTGACCTGACCGGCCGGAATGTGCAAGTTGAGGTCGCTGAGCACAACAACCGTAGGTCGAGATGGATAAATGTGCTTGATGTTCCGTAGCTCAATCGCACCTTGGATGCTATCCAAAGTCTTTCCGTCTTTGGAACTTGAGTCGAGGAGAGATTGACGGTCAATGGTACTATACACCTTGGATGCTGCGGCAGCAGCAGATGTAAAAGCTTGGCCGTGTTGGGTGACGCCGCCTAGGGAGTACGACCCAGTGACCACAGCAGTCAAGATGGTCAAGATCTGACCAACGTTGACGTGGCCAGCAACCAGATACCGTGAGCCTTGCCATAATCCGAGACCGTATGTCAGGAATAGGATCGCGCCAAGAGATGCGATCATAACCGCTTGGATCATTTGCATTTGGATGCCATACTTTTCTGCTTTGTTCAAGAATACCTAACAGAAACAATCAGCCTTGAGCATCCGGGAACTCATCGGGAGGAGAGCTACCTCATACTGTTTCGCCAGTCGATCGTGCGTTCCAAAGGCTGATAGATACTCAGCATGTGGTTAGCATGATCATCTTGGCAGATCCGAATAGCGCATCAAACGAACCAGTGGTTGTCCGGATAGAGCTTATGACCTCCGCTGCCACACTGCTCCCCTCTGAGTAGCTTGCCAGGGACTTTGTTGTAAACTTGATGATGAACCGGTAACCAAAACTCATGGACCCAAGCAGACACAGCATGGCTGGTGAACATATGAGGGCCAGTTTCCAGAACTTGATGAAGGCAATGATGAAGGCGCTCACAAAGGTAGCAACGGCCGTCAGGGTAAGGGCGACTTTGTGGGAGATACCATCTTGAATCAGAGTGGTGTCGGCACTGATACGGGTGGTGATCTCGCCGGCACCGAGATTGTCGAAATAGGCGATGTTTTGGCGGAGAACGGCCCTGAGGTATTCTTCTCGGATCCTTTGGGTGATGTGATGGCCGGTGTAGATGAGACCTACGGTAGAGATGTAGGTTGTTCCGAAGATGGCGATGCCGATGTAAACATAGTAGAGTACATTGTGAGTGAGCTCCCCCATGAACTCATCATATGTGATGGTGTCATTGGAGATCTCTTGGAAAGCGGTGGCCAGTTGTCCAAAGAGGATCTGTCCCAGTATAGAGGCATCGACGCTATAGATTAGCCAAAACCTGTCATCACTTCATTGTTTTCTCAAAGGGCTTACACTCAGTAAGGGCAGAGCGGCACCTGCAGCAATGGCACAGAGAAGGCTGATGGCGGTAACGACAAGGTCCCACGAGTCGGCATATCGATAAAGGCCGAACCAAGATACTTTGACTGACGGGAGTCCAGCTGGGCCTTGAGGAGCTCTCTCTCTTGGCCCGTCAGGTGGGCAAATGATGCCTCGTCGTCGACGGACTTGGACATGGTGAGAGACGGCGTGAAGCCAGCCCAACAACTTCAATTCGTGCCGTAGAACACTCGGGTGTATTCACAGTCGTAGGTTGCCAAGTTCCATCTTGGCCATCGCATGTAGGTAGTAAAGTCGTTGCCCCTGGAAGCCCTGCGTCTCTTGGGACAAGGTACATGGCACAGTACGGGTTTGCGTATCCGTCATGGTTGGGGTGTCGCCAAGTGGACGGTGGGAATGCCATTGTCCATTTTCGTGTTTCCACGACACCTTCCGACTTGGTACAAGTGTCGAGCATGTCCATCATGGTACGTACCAAGTTTGGACACTTTGTAGCTCCAGGAGCTTATCAACGTGATGAATCTTGAGTCCGTATTCAGTGATGAGAGATCGCAGCCCACACCGCTGCTTCCCTGCGTGCTTTGCCGGATCTGGTCGTGTGTGAGAGACACGATGTTCGTGAAAGAAAGGGAAAGAAAGGATGGATGTTGATCGGCGTGGAATCACTGTGTCAGCGTAGCACGCACGCATAGGCATCAGCACCGAAGGATTCGATCCACACCGGAAGCGACCTCAGAAACACAGTGTCAAGTGTCAACGGTCAAGGTGCGGATGGTCGACATATTGATAACTGTGAAGAGGTTGGGGCACTGAATCATTTCGATGTTGAGGAAAGCTCCAGTGGGCAAAGAAACCCCGAGTTGCGCAATTGTGAATGATCGTTGCCATAAATCACCATGGTGGGCGCCATGTTAAGCGGATGGTTGACTCCCGCCAACCCAGAAGACGCAACTGAGATGGCGTTTCCTTATCTTATCTTGGCTCACAGTGGGCAACCGGCAGGCGAAGTGCCCGTGGCAAGTCCGGCAACTCTGGTCACGTGGTCTCCCCAATCACAGCCACCATGGTACACTCGAGGCCACTGAGACAACAGGTACATCTGGAAATCCATTACTCTTCATCAAACACCGAATTCTCCGCCATTGCAAGCAAGTAGGGATTGCGGGCTATTTACAGTCAATTTACATGTTCCATCCCCAAGTTGCCCAGCTCGCAGCACCGGCTAATTGGGGGTCTTCAGATAAGATAACGCACTGCACCTGGTCTGTCGCCGTGCTGCAACTGCCGTCATCACCATCTTCCATCTTCACCGTTTTCTTCAAATCGCATGCCGGCTATCGGACACCTGTATCCATTTACATCGAGACACTTTATTGCAAAGGCGCCCGAGTATCTCAGCGGGCTCTCGACAAATCGATGCAAAAGTGCTTCACGAATTCTCCGCTTCGTTGAGCAACTACCTTGTTCTCATCTTTTTCCAACAAAGCTCCCACTGGGGGCTTTCTCTCTCTCTTTTACCATGTTCCTCTTCACAGTCGCTATCCTGAGCCATACGCCTCTTTTGTTTTTCCATCGAATGGTACTTGATCACCATCATCATCATCATCATCCTCATCCTCAAAGCCATCGCACCCTTGCAACCGTCATCATATCGTATGGCTTAGTTCCCGTCCGAGTTCTCTGTGACCCCGTCTTCAGGCGCCAGCACTGAACACCCCTCGTGGATCACCTTGACACTCCAATCCTGGCCATCGACGTGAGCCTTCGACGTGAGCCTCCCCCTTGATCCAGGCATCCATGTAGTTGTCACCGTCGAAGCTCTGCCAACAGGACTTTTGTTTGAAGATCTCCATGACCGCTCGCGCAGTGACTTGGTAGGAGTCAAGTTCTTTGCGATTGTTCGCGTCCTATTCATATCATCCCCATGGATTAGGGTGACGTTCACAACGGATCAGGTAGCAAAGGTCCCATCCTCACCTTAATACACCACTGGATCGTGGTATCAGCAGAGCAGCTAATCCGGCCGCAACTGTTAGGGTCGTTCCCTGGCTTCCCGTCCCGAGTCATCAGGTAATGGAATCCGTCCAGCAAACCGTCGACATGGCCATAGTCGCCCTCGGCGGATTGCAACCAGTCGACGCTGAATGACAGTTTCTCAGGGTGGATCAGACCGTCAGAGATAGTTGTGTTGGCCTGTCTTGGTAGCATAAAAGGTCCGACACTGCGGGCAACAGCGGAAAACTACAATAAAGGGGTGTTGTCTTGTCAGGCCGGTCATCTACAGGCAGATGTGAGGCATAGAGCAAGACTAACTGGAAGGAGGGTCAAAGAAGCCAGGCTGAGGATGGCGCGAGGCGAAGACATGGCTGATGAGCTGGCCGAACTTGGAATTGTATTGGAGAGATAAGGTGTCGGTTGAAGACTGACTGGAATGATGTTGTGGGCAACGTGTGGGAATCATCGACCTTTATAGGCATTTCAACTGCTACCACGTCCAGAATATAAAAGGAAAGACGACGCGGCTTGGTGTCGACCATGAAGTATTGCACACATCATCTAACGGAAGCAAACGGCGGGTCTCATCAATCTGTCAAGTCTTTCTCAGCAGGCATATCGTTGTTGGAGACATGGAGTAGGTTGGGGGCAGTTCCAATCTCTTGAACCCGTTCTCTTGTATACTGAAGCAGAGAAAGCTAACAAGCAAACGAAGAGATCCAGCGCAGAACATCCGACTCCAGACCACTCTCCTCAAACACATTGACCAAGCCGGCACCAACGACGCCACACCACCCCCACAACATATACCAGGATTCCAAGTGTCGCCGTGTTACATCTCTCATTTTCCCAGCCCTTCACACAGACACAAGCACACACCTATAACGACGCCTCTCCTTCCCTTGCCCCATCTTTTCCTTCATCTCAATTGTTCACCTCTTGCAGCCTCCAACAGTACTCATGCCTAATAAAGACGCTCCAGAAACTGTCCGTCCAAATCTCGCCCTTGAGCCGCCCACCCGGTCTGCCAATTCGGTTGCGATTTTCCCAACAATTATCATCATTATAGAGGGTGTTAGCCGCCGTCCCAATCAGCCAGGGGCTGTCCAACGTGGTCGGTAAAATATTGCTATTACACCAGTAGATGCTGGTGTTGGTCTTCATGTCGCAGAACACCCGTCCACACACCCTGGGCCCGGTCCCGGGCATGCCCTGGAGCGACGGCGTCCACTTGAACTTGGACAGGTTCGGGTCGGTCTTGAGGTATTGAATGCCTTCTAGGGCCCCTTGCCCGTCGGCCGGGAACCAGTCCGGGTTCGGGGGCACCTTGTTATGGTATTTGGAATTTTTGCAGTCCGTCGCGATGAACGAAGGAGTCGCATATCCGAATTCGCGGGCGAGAACGGTGTCAGGAGATGTCAGCGAGGTCTTGGTTGGGGATGGCTTGGGGCCCATGGGAGCTGTGGCGGTGTTCAGACCTTGGATTTGATCACGGTGTTTGAGGGTTGGTTCGGTGTTGCGGTTCAGGAGAGAGGTAGTGAATTGAGCGGTAGTCGTGATCTGTGGGGGTAAGAGCAGCTGAAGTTAGAAGAGCTTATGTTCTATTGAGCTGAGGAGAGCAAGGCATGGCAAGGGAATGGAAGGGTTGAGACGAGAGATTCACCGGCAGGAAGACCACAACGGCCAGTTGAAGGATAACGCTTGGTATGAACATGATGTAAATGTATTCTTGGAAGGGAAGCCCGTTTGGATTATGCAAATGTAGTAGGAAGGTCTCCTGCGAGATCGAGTCCCTCAAATCGACAGGAACAACCGGAGGTGCGACGGCCTTTTAACTCACGAACTGGAACCGTCAATGACAGGCAATGCATTGGAGAAACAAGAAACCTGAATTCGAGAAAACCCGACGACAACAACCCAACAAGCCGTAAAACGTCTTCTAACTAAACCTCGTCATGAAAATGGAAATTGTTGTCTTTCAGAGAAAACCCAGATACAAAGGACCATCAGTTACCCAACAACAGCTCTGCAAACCGATAACCCCCCAAAACAAATCGAAATGAAATCGATGTGAAACCGCATCCCATCCCGTCCAAAGAAACAATGAAAGCACCCAGAACAACCAACCAACCAACCAACCAACCAACAACCAACAACCTTTTGTAGCCCGAGCTCGACCTATTCCTAGGTAGGCTCTTGTCGAGAGCCTCCCAGTTATCAAGAGGCACAGGAACATTTCTTCTGTAGCTTCCTTGATTACCTAGTACTTGGCCCATTCGGTCCCTTCCTACTTTGTAACCTGCACGGTAATTTCCGGGCTCGCCGGGTAAAGAACAGCCTCCCAACAATAGTTTGCTGTTCATCTTTTAAGAAATCCGGGTTGCCGAGCCCAAGCCGGCAGCACGGGTATCAACAACGCCACACCACATAACACCACATCCACAACATACCTAACCAGTATTACAACTACCACATACATATCTTACATATTCCTCAGCCCCTTTCTTTTAAATATCCTTTGCGCGCTGCTTGCAATCCTCCCCCCTAATGAAAACGCTCCAAGTCGAATCAGTAAAAATCTCACCTTTGACCAGCCTGTTACGATCCAATCGTTGAGCCTCATGTAAGCTAGATAGATTGACCAATCAGATAGGACCCGGGGTCCCGAGTCTACGGGACCACGGGACGGGGTTGAAGACCAGTATATAAGAAGGCCTCCCGGCCTTCGTTATACCTGGTTCTTCAGCAAGCAATAGCTATCACAATCTACCAGTACCTTTCGGCTACTACTCCGTTACTCTATTGTTCTATCCCAGCGATAATACTCCTGTGCTTATAACGGTTCGTCACACAGCCCACATGGGTCCCTCAAAGGATACTCTCCACCAACGCCTGTAGCCCAACAGCTTGTGTTCTTATATAGCATACCAGCCAGATTGGCAATGTAGACGTAGTGTGAGATTGTTCGGTCTCGTCGTGGCTGTTTGGTTTCCATTTAGGGAGTGTCAGCGAGCGATTCGCGTACAGGTAGATAGGGCAACTGCTGTCAAAAAAAAAATTAAAAAATTGAAATTAGGTAAACTCACATCATAATTACACATATCCTCGAGTGGGTATTATTCGCCTTGGGATTCCATGGCCACCCGCCCGTTTTCACGCTGAGCTGATTTATGGCCACGCTTGCCTGGGGACCCGAGCCCCAGGCCCATGAGTCTTGACCGGGGCACAACATGCCCAGGTAGGGAGGGGTGTACGTGGGGCTCATGCCTCAGGCGGCGATGACGGTGGTGGGAGGTGCCAGCAGGGTTTTGGCTGGGGGATGGGTTTTGTCGGGGCCCATGGGGGTTGTGGTTACGGTTGTGTCGAGATCTTCATTCTGATTACGAAGCTTGAGAGGTAGTTCGGCGTTGGGGTCCAGTACTAGGGAAGTGGTGAACTGAGCGGTGGTGAGGAGCTGGTGAGTAGTGTGGTGGAGTTGTTAGTGGGCGTAGTCTGATCAATAAGGGTGGGATGAGGGGCTTACTGGGAAGCAGGCCACAATGACCAGTTGGAGGACGATGCTAGGTAAGAACATGGTGGATGTTATCAAACTTGGTTTGGGAATGCCAGTCTGTTTGGAAAATATCTTATGTGATTTTGAGTCCTCCGGCAAGCGACAAGCCAGGCGTGAGACAGCCTCTTAAATCACCACTGGGGCCATCAATAAGAGGCAAGGCATCTGAGAAAGAACACCCCGAATCCGACCAAGCACAACGACACCAAAAGCCGTGAAACAACTTGCGACCAAACCACGTCCAAAACGGAAATTGTTCCCTTTCACATAGAACCCGCATACAAAGGACCATTAAATACTCAAAAACGGCTCTGCAGACCGATGAACCAAAAAATATGAAATGAAATCGATGTGAAACTGCATCCCGTCCAAAAAACAATGAAAGTCACCTTTCCAATCAGCATCTTTATGTCATCCTCGACATATTCCCAGGCCTTTGATCGTGGCCTTCCACCTCTTCGTATATTACCAGGCTGCCGCTCCATTACCGTCGTTAGCATTTGTCCCCACTCACAACAACAGTCCATCCTTTATTAAAAACCGCCTCTCCGCAAACCTTGCCACCCTTTCTCGCGCATTCGGAGTCACCCAAAACCCGTTCAACACCATAAATTATAGGCTCCCAATCTTTAAATCCTATACTTGTCTGTTGGTTGTATGAGGCGCGTTAGAACACGAGCTCCAGCAACTGAATGGGAAAAGCCATGGAGGAAGAAAAATCAAGAAAGTAACCAAAAGGGCCGCAATGGGAGATGAAGAAACATACTGACCTCAGAATTGTAGTTGCAAAAGTGGATCACGGTGTCCTTCACACAGGTAACCAGGCCGCAGTTATTGTCCTTGGCGCCTACCACCCATTTCTGGTTGTCTGGTGTATTTTTCGGGTTCTTTTGCAGCAACTTCTTTAAATGTTCCTGTCCCGCTTGGACATTCCCTATTACTGCCGGGACAATTCGCCGCCCCTTGCTTACGATGCCTACGTCCTGATCGGTTGGGTCGCAATTATTGAACATCCACCCATGTTGATCTTTGATGTCCTTGTTGTCATCTCTCTTGACAATGGGGCCCAAACTCGAAGTCGGCGGGGAGTTTGCTGGCAGAGTTTGCGTTTGGAAGGAAGAAGCGGCGTCGACAGCAGCGACCGGGATGGGAGCAAACTGTGAAAAGACAAGGGAGCCAAGTTAGTTTACGCCCAGTGCCAAGTGTTAGGGGTGTATGGATACAAGGCTAAAAGGGATATACATACCTGTACGATGAAAAACAGTGAAACCCAAAAGAACATGGCGCTCTTGGACGGCATATTGGGATATTGTATGTCAGCAGATGCAGTGTGACTTTGCAATAGGATGGCGATGATCAAGTAGAGTGGTAGAAGGCGGAACTTGAAGAGCGTGTTGTGAATAGTCAACTGATGAGTGAGTGGTTGATGACTTGAGGCATGATGGCACTGGCAATCATAGTGACTTTATAGAGACGCTTGATGATGTTGCCCATCATCTTGAAGACCATATCGGCGGAAGGGCCCTACATGACCAACCATTGCAGGACAAAATAGTAACTCGTCCCATTGCATTAAGGCGTTGGATATGAGAAGCGCGCGTCAAAATTGTTGAGGAGCCTTGTCAATGAAAACCAGAACTCTCGAAAGAAGGTAGAATGGAACCACAAGACCTAGCACGACTGTTATTTGTGGACAACGCCTAAGATATAACAACTGTCGGCGGCACAAAGCAAAGTGGCTGCAAAGACTTTTAGTTGTCAGACTCGAAGGTTGGAGGTCTGCAGTTGTCTGGCTGTTGGTTGCAAGTGGGAGGGAACTTGACAAGGCGGCACTTCGACGTTCATCGGACCGACTGAGTGTGGCTTTCAACTCTTCCGTGGCTTCCAAATCAGGTTGGAGTGTCCAATTCTCCTTCCTAGGCTTACCGGGGGTAATTTCCCAAATGGACCCTACCTTCCACTTCAACAGAAAAGGTGGGTGTTCCTCCTGCCTCCCAGCCACCATGTCGCGATATCGGCCTCAAAGATAGCACCATTCCAAATCAACTAACGCAGAAGGAAGGAATGAACCAATGCCTACATGAATATTGATGCGTTTTGAAAAGTGAGCATAATTCTTCCCCTTGGAGTTACTGTGATCGAGGGGAGGGCAAACCGAAGGATCTTTGTTGGTGGCGTGGGTGTTGGTGGGTTAGCCAGAGCATAGCAAACATCTTGCGCAACAAACCCTTCGTGCTTTACTCTGGGCGCTCTGGTTTCTGCGGACTTTTTACATTTTACGCACTTTTGTACCAACATAAATTGGACCGGCTGCCGTGATGATGTTGGGACAAAAAAAACATGCAACCTCATTTTGTCCCGTGTCTCAGCATCACGATCAACCGTTCATCCCGTCCACTACCCCTGGCACACCACCAAGTAACAAGTAGCAACAATGCTTCTCTCCAACATCTTGCGCCTGGCCCTTGTCTCCGTTCTTCCAGTGAGTCGCAAAACTTCTGTTTTCCCCAGACTCGCGCTTTCTGGCTCATCTAACCCTGGTATCACAGGCGGTTGATGCCATCGTCCTGCCGCCCACAGGCCTCAATGACAGGAAGGAAAACCGTGCCCGCATGGAAGTTTACTGTCCTTCAGACCGGGCCACAAACAACCAATGGGGTGTACCGATTGGTGTTTCGGAGAACATCCGCTACCTGAGAGGTGTTGGAGGCAAGCCTGTGAACGGGCCTGGACCGAACGCTTGCGGGAGGATTGCGTGCAGTCATGACACTGCTGTGTTTTGGTGTAATGATGTGAGTACATCCATAGGTATGAAATACTTCATCTTTCTGACAACAATGTTGCATGATCAGAACTACTACACCAAGGGACTTGACTCGTATCAAGTAATCGCCGATGTGGTCGATAAGCTCAGGAACGACGCGCGCTGCTACAGAACGAGGAAAGAAAGTGAGAATGGTCCTTTGGTCATGTACGGGATCCGCGGAGAGATTAAGATGAACGACGGATGGAGTGTAGTTGTGAGGTCTGAGAAGTGTTAAGTGTTCAGGCTCAAGGGTGGGAATAGAACGATGCGAGGTGATGGTCGGGGTGCATGCGGGGCCGGATCGATATCTCCACTCTCCCGGTTTGTGGGGGCGTCCGGGGCCGTTTGTACCCGTGCCAGACCGCCGCCACGCCGGGAATGGGTGTATCATGTTTCCTCTTCATATAGCAATCTTTTTCTGTTTCTTGTGACAGTCGCAATCGAAAGCCACCAACTTCCTTTATTCGAGCCAGATCCAGCGGAGCGTCACCTTCTTTCTTCCCCACGTGCCCCTGCCGACTACAATTTATTTCCCAAGCTTGGTTGTGTTCATCCGTCTTGTCTTCCTTTGCTTTTCCACTTCTCAAAACATTCTTAACATGTAGATGGGCTCGTGAACAACATGAGTTGAATGCTTGCACCATCGACCGGCGAGCCTTTCGTCGCATGCCCATCACTTACCGTACAATCCTTCGCTGTTGCATAAGGCTCTTGCCGCCACGCAATCGGAAGACACGAAAGCCAAGGAGAGACCCATCTCGTCTTGAGGCTCTCACTGGCTCACACCGGCGGGGACATTCACCATGCCCCCCTCAAGCCAACAAATGCATTGCCCGCATCATCAAGCGGTGACCCTTTCATCGGCGTGCCACCATCATGACCCATGCACTCTTTCGCCCTCGCGTGAGGCTCTTGCTGCCACGTCAATTAGAACACCACAGTCAAATGAGAGAGCTTCTTGTCATCAAAGTCCTCATTCTCTTGCCCGGACAGAGGTAGCGCTTCATCAAGTCAGCAAAAAGGCACTGCTGCATTATGGAGATGTGGATAGGAGTTCGCTCACTGGCTCTCCCTCCTCCTCATCATGAAATCTCCCGCAAAGAGCCTTGCATGGTTAAAGGATGGTCAAAGGACACGTTTGATGGGCTTTGCTGGCTGTCCTGACTCCCGAGCCTGGCAGCGAGCGCGATACGGACATCCGTGTTCCCTTGAGATTGGAAGCCTTACTTGTGTCGGGCATCCGGGCATCCACTGTGTATCTTCTTCGCAGCTACTCAGACACGCAGCCATTCCCAAAGCCGTCCCGTCGGATACTGCGGCTGATGGTATTCCAGGCTCGAGTCAGCCAGAAGGACCCGTGAGACCCTGGTTGCATATGCGCAGTCGATCTGTCAGAGAAGCCATTCGACGCCTTCTTTGTCGCGGGCTGCTCTACGTTCGAGACCTGCCAAACTTGCAGGCTTTGCTTTGTGTTGAAGGGTGATAGGCCATGTGTTACTCCTATGAAGCAAGATTAACCGGGCCTGGGCAAGATCATCAACTTGACAGAGTTTTTCACAAATCAACCTGGGCTTGCAATAAGCGATGAGGCTCGACGAGAACCGAGAGTGTTGACCAAACAAAAGGTCCTTCGCCCAGAAAATGAGGAGAGAGGAGAGGGCCGAGACAGTCAGCATGATGACTTTGGTTCCGAGAAGGATGGACAATGCATGCTTATATGCGACTGTGCTCTGCTTTCAGAACAATTCTGGATGCCATTCCTAGACCGACTGGCTTTCTATTCTAACCATCCGAGAGACACAAACCATATCGCCCTTGAATCTTCGTCACTTCTTCGTCACTTTCCTCTTCGTCGTCTGCGCGTGGGCAGCCAAAAACACCGACGAGGTACGCGAGTTCATTTACGCGAATCGGGATAACAAAGACATACTGAACGGGAAACCTGCTCCGCCATGGGTGAGTTCACCAAACATCCGGGGTACCGGTGATATCATCATATCATGTCTGGTCACCTTGATTGCTTGCGCCTATACTGCCATTCACCCAACTGTACCCCCCGGCGGTGCTGGCAAAAGGAGCTTCATGTTCATCAAAGCCGCCCTGGTATTTGTGGCGGTCCTGGGTCCTGAGGCCGTCTTTGCCCTCGCTTTTCAGGAGTATCTCGACGCCAGACGATTGAAGAAGAGGCTCCAGGAGGTTATAAACAGTTCTAAAGAGAAAGGAGATCCATGTGGACATTGTCAAAGACCCAAGAATTGCAAGGCATGCGAACAGCAAAAGGTATGTGGTCAGATAAAAGAGGTCTACTTATTCGTCTTCTTGTGATAATCATCTTGGACGTATGGGCTAACATCAAGTGTAGTCCTCGGCCATGGTCGACATGAAATTCTGTTACTTCGTCGTCATGGGTGGCCTACAGGTCGACATCTCCGACATCAAACCGTCTGACTACGTCCGATTTCACTTCCATGGCGACAACATGCCCGAAATGCTTCCTCTGTCGGCCGATGGAGTGATAGAGCTTGCTATGCTCGGGTACCTGGATAAGCTCTTGGTTGAGAAAACCGTGATTGAGGACAAGAGCAAAGGGGCACTGGTGCAAAAGTGCGTAGTTCTCGTTCAAGTTGCTTGGATGGGGATTCAATGCATTGCCAGAAAAGCCGAGGGGTACCCCATTTCTCTCTTGGAACTGCACACCTTTGGCCATGTCGTGGTTGCAATGTTGCTGTATCTGTGCTGGTTAAATGTGAGTTCTGCATCTCCCTACTTGCCTCCTTCCATCCTTCACCTTTCGGTCTCAAGCCAATATGCCACTAACACTTCCTCAGAAACCACTTGATGTGCAACAACCTGTTTTTGTTAGGCCCGACGAGTTCAAAGATAAACGGGATACTGAGGGCTTTCAAGATGCACTGGCACTGATGGTTCAGGAACAGTTCTGTGACCTACAGAATTTCACTGGCTTTCTAAATTTCAAGTGGAAACAAGAAAAATGGAAGGCCTCCAAGCGGGAGACTAGCGAGAACCCTACCAAACAAGAGACAACCCGAATTGCCATCAATCGAATGGTCCAAGGATTGACGCCTCAGCCAACTCCAGCAAACGAACCTGAACAATTGATAGAATCCGGACAATCGACGACAGGCTCGCAATTCTCAATCCTGCCGGTTGGAATTGAGGAGGTAGACCCGAGACAGCCACAAATCGGGGATCCAGAAATCTTCGATCTGAAGGTTAACCAGCAACTTCCTTGCGGGTTCGGCCACATGCCCGTGTCTCAACATCCGAACTGGAGATGTATCTGGAACGGTCCGGACAACTGGCGGGTTAAAATAAAAGCCCCATATCGCTCGAACCGCGACGAAGACAAACTCTCAATCCGTCTCACCCGGGCTGATCGTTGCCGTGCAGAAAGAGCAGCGAGGCACATCAAGGTCGTTGAAAAACTGTATAAGATTAAACCTGCTGAGCAACCTGAGCCCTACGCATACCAAAGGTATGGGTCGACGGGCCAGCATTATCGGTACCTCAATCTCACATACAAGACTGCGTTTCAAAGTCTCAAGTTTGAGGTTGACAAGCTCAACCCGCTTGTTGCCAAACGGAAAGACGAAAAACAACACGTTGGAGACGACGAACAGCCCAAGCAAAACACCATTGATGTCCATCGCAAGGGACTATGTGAGGAAAGCTGTCCCAGAGTGATCACACGGTACGCTGCGTTCCTAGATGCCATCTTCAACGGCATCGGCAGAGTGAGCCGGTTCGTCTGCACGATTATCAGCGTATTGATAGGTGCTATCCACCTAGCAGCCTGGGACTCGGTCTTTCCTGGTCGGGTCGAAAGCATCATCTGGAAGGTTGCGAGCGTGACCATGATGGCCACCGTTCCGGCTGTGCTCTGGTATCGCTTCCAAGTTGTCTTGCTCCAGCGGTATCACTTCCAGTACCACCGGCTGGGCTATCAGACGTCCCATCTTTGGTTCACGCGGTTCTTGAATGCCTGGTACTTCTTCCTGGCCATCATATTCCTGTTGTTTTTCATTGTCGTTCGAGGGTATCTCATTGTGGAGTCGTTTATCAGTGTTCGTCACATGGCTTATGGCATTTACTTCGTTCCGGACTGGTTGCAGATTTTCCCACACATCTAAGGGATTCCTCGCAGTGTCATTCCGGGGGATGTTGGGTCGTTATGGAAATTTGGAATTGAAGATGCGTGTTTGGTTGTTTGCTGGTTGTTGGTTTTCCTTGGGCAAATGACCGCAAGTTTCTTGCGCGAAGATGACTTTCTTCGACAATGACCGGGGCAAAGATGCTTCACTCTGTCAGGGTCGTTACCGCAGGACATTCCGTGTTAAGAAAATCGCGTGAGGGCACTGTGATAAACAGCTGTGCAGATAGTGCTCACACAGCATGCTGGAGTTCGATATCATAATACTACCAAACCAGTCGCATTCGTCTCAAGGATCCTAGGACACTACTTACGACGATGACAGGTCAAACACCTAGGACAAAAAGTGCTTCGAAAGTTGGTAGTTGTTGGCGCGGGATAAAGATCTCCACGATAACATCAAAGTTATCGAACACAGGGGTGATGTTACTGCACCTGCCAAATTCGGATAGTGTACACTAACTGTCACGTGGGCGCCGGGTACCTACTTAGCCGATGTCCGTCCTCTTGCCCCCGTCCTGTCGTCCGCCTCTTTGCATCTTCGGACCTACATATATCATCGTAATGTACGGAACACGGACGGGTTTACCTACCAGAGCTCCACTGCTTGCATTCTCTTCCGACCCATTGCGGCGTCAGGTTCCGTCCACGATGTCCCGTACCCGCCCCGGCTGGGGGCCCATAGTATCGGGACGGTGAGACCTAAAATGATCGGCGCCGGCCGATTCCAAGCGTTCTTCGCAGCTTCCTTTTCGGGGATCCGACATCCGTGTGAGCCGTGTTATTGCCGTCCATTAACCCCACAACCCGCGGAATAGACCGATTCCAACCACTTGGTTTTTGCAACCAACTAGTGCTATCATGGACACAACTCCGGGCTTGCCACCGGCAGATATGGGTATCCCTTTAAGATGAATTGGCTTTAAAATGGTCGCCGGCGCCGCACCGTATAACCTCACGGCCTCCTCACGGTCTCCTCAGAGTCTCTTCTTCAGCACTCTCGTCATCCTCAGCGACGCCGCCCATCATGAAGACCTTCGTCGTCCTCCCCGTCGTCCTCCAGGCCGCGGCCGTCAGCGCCTGGGGCAAGCTCGGCCATGCCACCGTCGCGTCTGTCGCTCAGCAGTATCTCACCCCCAATACTGTGAAGCAGGTCCAGGCCATCCTGGGCGACAAGTCGACGACTTACATGGGCAACATTGCCTCGTGGGCCGACTCTTTCCGCTACGAGGAAGGCAATGCTTGGTCCAGCGGTCTTCACTTTGTCAACGGCCATGACGCTCCTCCCCCCGAGAGCTGCCACTTGATCCTTCCCGAGGATTGCCCGCCTGAGGGTTGCGTCGTTTCTGCCATTGGAAACTACACCGAGCGTGTGCAGAACAAGGAACTCGCCGCCGAGCAGAGGACGCAGGCTCTTAAGTTCATCATCCACGTTCGTTCCCCCTTCCTTCCATCCAAAAGTTCCATTCACTTCCCGGGTTCAGTTCCCATCATCAATCCGATAAAACTGTCTCAAACTAACCCTTGTTCACAGTTTCTCGGCGACATCGCCCAGCCCCTGCACACCGAAGCTTTCGGCGAGGGCGCCAACAACGTGACCGTCTTCTTCGACGGCTACAAGACCAACCTGCACGCGGCGTGGGACACCTCGATCCCCAACACCATGCTGGGCATCTCCCCGCCCACCAGCGCCGCCAACATCACCAACGCCGACTTTTTGGGCTGGGCCAACAACCTCGCCGCCAAGATCAACCAGGGCAGCTACCGCAGGGACGTCCGCAGGTGGTTGCGGAACCACAGGCTGCCTGCCAACAGGAAGGGCGCCGAGCGCGCGGCTGCCGCGTGGGCCCAGGACGGCAATGAGGAGGTCTGCCACTACGTCATGAAGATTCCTGGAAACCAGCTTAACGGCACCGAGATTGGTGCTGGTGCTGGTGGTGATTACTACAAGGGCGCGGCCGAGGTCGTGGAGCGCAGTATCATCAAGGGCGGTATCAGGTTGGCGGGCTGGTTGAACTTGATCTTTGATAAGCGCACTGGGTTTGAGTTTTGGCTTTGATTTGGGATGGGACTGACTGGCTTTGGCTAGGTATGTCGGTTCGGTACAAAGTAGGTCGTCTACGGCTTTTAACGGGAGACCGACCGGACCCGGCTGTAATACATAATTGTCGTTATTACTCCCAGAGGCTTCGTTTTCTTTTCTACCCATTTTTGTGTGACCAGGACACCAATGGCGGACTGCCTCATTACCTAGGGATCGATCCATCTCCCTATCCCCGACCAAGCCAGCTCAAGCTCAGTAATTTCCGAAACACCGTCTGGTACGCACCTTCGACACTGACTTGGAATGTCCTGAGTTGACGGCAGGTTATCCAAACTCCACGGCCGAACGCTCCGCAAGTTGCACCAACGCGACCGAGCCTCAAAGAAATTGCAATATTTCATAAAAAGAATCAACCCCTGGTTAGGTAGCCGAGTCCTACTAACCGAACGTACCGATCAACAGCCCGACTCTACGGCCCCGGTGTACATATGGTACAGTGTAAGACCCCAATGTCACGGCTTGGAGAGGAGCAGCGGACCCGGGCTGAAGACCACGTTGTTTTCCCCCGAGCTGAGTCTATTCGGGATGGTGGTGCGTCCGAAACGACATTGCATGGCATGAAGGATTCGGTGTCAAAGAGTCGGGATCTTTAACTTCAAGCTCGTAGACAGTAAAAAGTAGGTTCACGCAGCTGGGTTGATGTCGTTCAACTTACGGCACCCGCACTGGCCAGGATCCGTGACGCTACTAACTGTAGAACAGAGTCGGTCTTTCGTCCATTCCAATTTCCAAATCCAAGCCCAGCGGCTTGATGGCCACGGTGCTGGGTATACAATCCAAAAACGCAAACGTCCAGACTGGCAGTCAACCCCGATTGATACCTTGGCGAAAGCAACTTGGCCCTGTTATCTCAAATCATGGTCCTGAAGAAGTTCGTGGTCGTATGCTCAAGAAGATCCAACAGCTCGCAAACATAACCACGGGTTGTTCCCTCAACGCCCAAACCGTCGGATCTATTACGATGCCCAGGTGGAATTTTCCCATTATATCCAGCTTTATATGTATCTGTCAATGTCGAATATTCGTACGAAATTCCAGAAATATGCAGCTTAGTGGTCTGGTCTGGTCGGGAATAACGATAATGACATCGTGACACAACCGACTGGCGACTGCAACCTGCCCCTAATAAATCCCCAGACCTGGTCTGGCCGACAATGTCAGTGCAAGTTCAAGATAATGAAGTTGGAAGTCTATCAACTAACTCATCCATGGTTCTTGGCTTTACTTACCTATGATAGGCAAGAGCAACCAACTCCTGACCTGAGTTTTCGGGGATGAGAGAATCCTTTGAGCTCCGATAGGTGGGGCTCACCTTTATCTCGGTCCCGGTGAACAACTGAACAAGCGACGGAATGGCGCCGTCTCGTTGGACGGGAACGCGGCGGTGGCTTTCACTTCTATCGAACTTGCTCTTTCCCATCGGGCCACCATTCATCTCTACCTACTATGGCCCCCAATCCCCCATATCCAACTTGAAATTGCCGGCTTTTTGCTTTGGGAAAAAATGTTTGCTGCGCCATCTTGAAGCAGGCATTCGAGGGGGCCGAATTGTCGGATTTTCCCCCACCAAAACTTCAAGTTCAAGTTCACCGCTGTCACCATGATACCCGGACTGCAACGGTCAATCACACAGCAACTTGATTGCCAAATACCCAATTCCATCTTCCGTCGCTCGTTAGTACTTTTGCTTTGACAAATTGACAATGCCCTTGCTACCTTTTTGCTCTTTATGTGTTTGCCGAAGTGTGTACAAAGTACAAAGGACCGACCGACTCTCTGTCAAGGCCAATTCCCGGGACAATGGCACCTCTCAAACCAACATTACATCCGACCCGTCGTGCCGCCGCCTCCTTCGATCCGGACCCTTGGAAATTTGAACTCCGGTTACCCAGTCATGGGCAGGCTGTCTGGATAATGTCCTTTGCCCATCTTGCTCACGGCCCCGAGCCGTGTGTCATTTGATTTCACCTTTGAATCAAGGCATACATTCGCGACGCGCCGCCCTGAGCTAGGTGGCAGTCCCTTGCCTGTTCTGGGCCCATCCATTCCTCTGAAGAAGAGTAAGAACATCAACTCGAATACCATATATCAACCCCCACTACTCGAACCCAAAGACGCTCCCCCTCAAGACCTGCTACCAACGAGAAAACAAGGCCACCTCACCCGACCTCGCCTAATCCAACCTGCTCTACGATATTTGCTCTTCTACGAAGCCGACTTGAGAGCTGAGAAAGATGTATGCAACGCAGAGTGCCATCCGCAGCGTTCCAAAAGGCGACAGCGCCTCGAACGCCATCAAGTCGTTGACGGCTATTCATCAGATCACTGGCCAATATCTCAACAAAAAGGATACCCAAGCCGATTATAAAAACACCAGTCCAAACTCCGACCGCGAAATCGAGGCCTTCTCAATCCTGACTCAGGTGAAGCAGTTGCTGGCATCCTCCGGGCTACAGGATGGTGTCGGTGTCGTAACCCCTCCAGACTCGGGCGCATCACTGCCAGAAATGCCCCAAGTAACAAGAGGAACATATCTCCTCTGACGCTCCAGCCAGCTGCTATCCATTCTACCCCCAGACATGCCGGAAAGCCTTCAGGTAGTGCCCGTCCGCCCCAGGAGGCTATCATGGGACTATTCGCGCAGATGAGCGCGGCATCAGCCATCAATCTTTTCGAACACTGGGGCGTCTTTGACGCGATCCCCGTCCCTCAGGAGGTTAGTGGTGCTGGCGCGGAGATTTCATTTGCAGATCTTGCAAAGAAGGTTAACGTCGAGGAGGCTCTGTTAAGTAAGTTGCGTCCCCCTTCTCGTGTGTGACTTTAGTCTTGGAGAACTAACGACCGTTTTTACCAGTTCGCATCTCCAACATGCTCACTGCGACCTCCATCCTTGGCCGGTTTCGAGACGGCCTTTACCACACACCTACATCCCTTTGCCTGGTCTCGGCACACCCGATGTCGGCCATGTTCGCACTCTTGTACACAAACATTGTCTCTGTCTCAACAAGCCTCCCGTCCTACTTCGACACATATGGACGCCGAGAACCCGTCGGGGTCAACCATGTCCCCATCACTTTCCATGAGGGCAAGCCGGAACTCAAGTACTTCGAACTGGTCAATCAAGACCCCAAGCGTATGAACGAGTTCATGAAAGCCATGTCCATCACCCATTCGTCAAGGGTGCCAACCACCGGCATGTACGACATGAACTCGGTGCTATCCATTGCGAGAACTGACCGGGAAACGGTCTGGGTGGATATTGGCGGTGGCGGCGGCCACACGGTGAAGTTGTTTCTGCAGGAATATGGCCGTGATGGGTTGAAAGCCAGCCAGTGTGTGGTACACGAGTTGGAAGATGTCGTGGAGGGTGCCAGCAAGGCGGCTCAAGAAGACGATCTTATCAAGGATGTGAGGTTTTTGCCGCTGGACTTTCATCGTGAGAGTCCCATCAAGGGTAAGTCAGGCAGGCGTATTATTTCCCTTCCATCCTCGGTCCCGAAAGAAATATGACGCTAACCCCACCTCATCATAGGCGCCCTCATTTATTATCTGCGCCACATCATGCGAGATTATTCCGACCAGGTTTGCGCCAACATCTTGCGAAATGTCGCCCGCTTCCTCTCCAGCGAAGCTCGGATCCTCATCTCAGAGCAGATCACTCCGGACTACCCCGGTATGGACTCACAACCGTCCTCTCAGCAGATTTACGCTGCTTTTAAGGACTTTTCGATGCTTCCAATTGGCGGAAAGGAACGCAGCCTTGATCAATGGAGGTCTGTTGCCGCTGAGGCTGGCTTGGAGATCTTTCGCGTGTACATGGATCCGAAGGGAACTCCCCATGGTGTTGTTGAGTTGAAGCTCGTGGACATTAGGAGCGAAGAGGTCCATGTGTAGGAGCCAACCCTTTAATTATAGGCAAGGATTTCGGAGTTGCGATGAGGGACAGGTGGATGGATGAGAGGGTCTGGCTTAAGCCAGTTTTCCTCGTTCGTCATGCTTCGGGGATTGAAAAGCCCGTAGAGACTGGGAAGTGGGCTGGTGAACTTGATAGCGACAGCCATGAACGAGACCACACAAGTTCTAGAAGCAGGGAGAAATGGAATTGGAATGGGATATTGATCGCGTAAAGTACTTGGGGTTCGTTCCAATGCGTGGGTGCTCGCACCAGTAGCACAGAATGTGGGCAATTGATAGGGACACTAGGTGGCAGGAGGGAGGTTAGCATTCCAGCTCAAACCCCCAGTCATGATATCTGCCAGCTCGGCGCACTCGCACACGTCACTGACAGTTTTCGAAATGACTGCCAACCCGTTTATAAGATGTATGCCCATGATCGGGCGAGATGTTGGGGTCAGCCAGTAAGCTGTATCGACCAAAGCGCAAGCGCCAACTCCTGACCACCATGAATCTGACGCACTTTCTCTCCTGGAGTCTCCTACTACTCGTTCACTCAGTCTTCGCAGCCCCTTCACGCACTTGTCGTGAGAGAAGCATCAAGCATCGAGATAGGTGCGAGGACAATGCCCTCCTTCAGTTACTCGACCTATCCGACAAAGCCGATACGAACCGGAAGCTTACCGGACATGACCACCATAACAATCATCATCACAACCACCCGAACGGTTACCAGAACCATCATTCCGACGACCATGACGGTGACTACCACAACCATATCGGAGCGTGCGAAGCGTGCGAAGTCGATGGATGACAACGATGAGCAGCCAGCGGCAGCGATATCAGCCACAGCCACAGCCACAACCAGAGCCAGCAAAGCCAGCAGAGCCCTTCCCCGGCTGCCCCTGGGCAGCAGACAACAAAACCGACGAAGAGCGGTACAAGTCAGGGCGCAGCCCATGATGGAACACTGTCCTCAACCATGGCGGGGTCGACCGGAAGATCAGATACGGATGGCGTGTGAATGTCTCGTTGTTGCTGGCCGAGAAGAAAAGGGAACGGTTGTTCTTCGTATAAGGGCTGAGGCTGATGAGGAGTCGACAGCGGTTATGACTGCTCCGGGGACTGCTCCGCTCCGAAGCCGGGATGTTTCGTCGTTTAGTGAGTGAGATTTCAAGGTATTTGGTTCGAAATGAATTGTAGGGATGGGCTGTTGCTAACTCCTAGGCTCATATTTTGTACAATAGGAATATGTCGGTTTTGCTTGTTGAATGTTGGAGTGTCTGACTGATCTGATCTGATCTGATGAGCTTTCGACATACTAGCTTGGCTGCTCGGCAGGGAGGATAATGTCTCGAGCGGTAGGTGTGAGGGTTGGGGTTAGCGGTGAATAGGTGATTGCATCCAGGGGTCGAGTGTGAGACGAAGGGCTGTGTATATGTATGCGATGGGACTCGAACAACAATGTAAACGACTTGATGATTGAAGATGTTGGAGAAAGGAGACTCGGCCCGGTGAAGTGAAACTGAGAGGAGGATGTGGGAGGAGTTTGAAAAGCCAAAGAAGTTGAGAGGTTGACAAAGTCGAGGCAACAATTACTTGTACAACCCCACATTTTAGCTTCCCGAGCTTATCTGGGACACGATAAGAGTCCCTGCTTGGCGCTTAGGGTGCAGCTTCCAGCGCTGCTGTGCCCTCCCCGATAGTGCGGCGATACCCCTAAGCAGCCCTATAGGTCCCCCACTCCGCAGACCACAGGCGCATGGATGCACTAACAGATCCAGATTGGTTTGACGTCAAACGCAACCGCCGCGGGAAATGGACGTCGAATTCGAGACCAACCTAAACCTTGAACAACCTACAACATCTGGCCGGTCGCCAGCATTCAATCTCGATGACGGCCAGCATCTGCCGCTAAATAACACCACCGGACTCGACGGGAGTCGCTGTCAGGCTCTTCATTGTTTCCATCCGTACGACCTGGTGTCCCCGTTTGCCCGACGACACACCTGCGAGACTACCGCGCATCGCCCCCCTCCCACCTCCCACCATTGTCATCGCATCGCCAACACACTACTCAGATCCCGAGCAACACCCAGTCCCCGCCGTCCGTCGCAAATACCTACCGATCAATTGTCAAGATGGCCAAGAAAAAGAAGTCTGGCCAAGTCGAGGACAACGCCACTGAGGTACAGTCGCCTGCTGTCCCCGCGACCCAAGATGCCGCAAGTGGAAGTGGAAGTGGAAGTGGAAGTGGAAGCAAGAAGACGGCAAAGACCAAGGCGTCCGCCCAGCCACAGCAGCAACCACCTCCGGTGCCGGCACTCATCATCTGTCGGAATAAGTGCGCCGTTCCCCTTGTGCGAACCATAAACACTGTCAATTGGCCCAAGGAAGAGCCAGCTTTGCCTTCCATGTCTTGCGCTTGACCTCCCTACCTATCCTCCTCCATATGCGCCAGCGAGCCCCTTGAACCATAGACTGACCTTCTGTCATTGATATCAACCAGGCATTGGCGCTATATCTCGTCCTTCCACGGCCCATGGCTTCAGCTCCCCCCTGAGATCCTCGAGACTCTGGCCAACTTGAACTACAATACCCCACGACCACGCCCTATCGATCCCTCGGTCTTCTTTGATCTTGTCAAGATCCGCCGCCTCGTCGACGATGCTACAAACCTTGCTGTGCGTGCTGCCAGTGGCGTGGCAACAGTCTCCCAGCACAACATGTCTGGTGGCCCCCATCATGCTCTGGGACTGTTTGGACCTGGTGGGCAAACGAAGCTCAGTCGAGAAAGAAAACACCGAATGCGGGAACAGGCGACCCAGAAGCTTTCCAAAGCATACCACCTGGATGAGATAGCGTCTAGCGTGGCTACAATGCAAAGTGCCTCTCCACTTGAGGAGGTGGCCTCGCTTGTGCTCCAGCGCAACCCCCAGGATGCCGACGCCAAATACGTGCACTTCTTTCACGAAAAGATACCGAGTAGGCAGTTAGCCCAATGCACCAACCTGGATGCCTTGAGTGAGATTGTTTCAGAGAAATCGAACCAGGGAGAACCACTAAGGACCAGGGCCACTGTGAGGATTTTTAAGGAGGACTTCGAGGGCGCCATTGCCGATTTGACAGAAGCTCTCAGGATACATCGCTTTTACCGGCTACCACAGAATGCTCCAAAGCACCACAATCTTCCTCAAGCCCGATCTGGCGGACGAAGACAGGAGGACATCGTCCTCAAGGAGGAGGAGCAGCCGAATAGCCTGGAAATTCAGCTATTGTTCCAACGCGCTGGTGTCTACCTGACCATTGCCTGTCAGCACGTCCAAGCTGCCTTCCCCTCCAAAACTAGTACAGGAAAAGGTGCGAATGGTGATATTTTTGACCAAAACAAAAAGACCGGCTCAGAGGCGACATCACAGGCCATACCCCTGTTAACCACTGCCCAGCAAGAGGCTGAGATAAAGATGATGGAGGCGAGAAAGCTCGTCCGTCACTACGCCAAACGTGCGCTGAAAGACTACATGAATTACCTGTCGCACTTCGAGTATTCTCCCGACCTACCAATCGAGATTGCCGAAGACTTTGCCCGGAAAGTCAACTACGCCGCCAATGGGGTTCGCGTCCCGAGATCCTTCTCTCATGCTTCCCGTTCCGACTCTCCCGTGACCGGCGAACCTGGCGAGAGTCAACCTACTCACCGAATCTTTGCTCTCTCGGACCTTTTCGCGGCATCACCTCCAGCTGACCTGCCTCCGTATCCTAGCACGGAGCTTACACCAGTACGACCGCAGCAACCACCGCCCACATTCGCTGCCTACCAGACGACGACGGAGACTCTCACCTACCACCCTCTGATGAATGATGCATTACACGCCCTTCTGCTCTGCCATTGTCTCATCCAGACCTCGGCTAAGGAGCTTCTTCGACACGCTTACATGGTAGCACGACTGGCGCGCCTTGCTGATGGTTATCCCATCTTCCAAGCTAGTCGCTCGCCAGCCCGCGCTGACTGGACCGAGGTTCTCCGAGCCTCCAGCAACTACATCCAGCTAGCCGGGACATGGGAAGACCTCTGCGCCCCAGCACCTCTTCCACTTTTCCAGCCTTCCGGCCCCGGCGGCGGACCAGTGCCGGTAGCGTTGCCCGGTCCTATCATGCAAAACAAAGCGCTGCCACCATTTTCTGCGGGTAATGCCACAGAAGCAGGAGCCATCGTCCGCTCAACATCAGGTAGCAACGGAACAAGCGGCGCCGCTGCTGAGGCCGAAAAACATCGCAAGGAACGCATCCAGCACCAAGCCATTATCGACGCCCTTGGCGATGACAGAATCAAAGACGAAGCCTCCTTCCGTATGGCGGTCAAGGCCCGTCAGCTGCGCGCGGAGAATGATTACCGACTAGATAACGCCGTGGCAGCTATGGACGCCAAGCTCACCACCGGTGGTCGTGATTTCGAGTCTCTTGCTTTGGAGCCGCCGCCGCCGCCGCCGAAAGATACCATTACTACCGTTACTACTACTACAACCAACGGATCCAAATCTAAATCTACCTCGCATCCAACCAACGCCATTAATGGCTCAACCTCATCAGCTCTAACCCGCACCACCACAAGCACCGCCAACGGTAACGGCACGACGACAAACGTAACAAACGAAGTCACTAAACCCCCTACCGTCACTATGAACGGTGGCGGAACAGCACCCCAACCGCCGGTACAAACAACACAAAATATCCGCCGCTGGTCCGTAGACGACGGCAAGGAATATCCCATCTCCACGGACCGCGCCTCGGCCATTGCGCGCTGGGTGTTGGAAGCACCGCCTAATGCTGGACTGACAAGTGGCAACGGGGACGGAACAACGGCACGAAGGAAGAAGAAGAAGGTTGTTTCGAAAATTAGGACTGGTTCTGGAGCTGGGGTTGGGGTTGGGGTTGGGGCTCCCGTTAGTATTGCGGCTGGGATAGTCTGTACTGGGGATACCTAGATTAGGAGGTTACCTATACATTGAGGTGCAGGGGGATGAATGTGCAGTGACCGTTGTGTTGAGCCTGAGGGGCAGAAGGGGTTGGTTCAACATCACTATGGTAGAGGTTGTCGACTGTTTCTCTACCTATTGAAGCGGCGATTTACATATCAGGCATTGTAATGTTGAAGTATGGAGTGTAGTGTGTGCTTGTTGCTGACGTGTAACACTACCTCTCTACCTCTATCTCTACCTCTACCTACCGTGGTGGTGTACATACTTCCAAATTCTCTCCCAGGTCGGGCAACTTTTGCCAATCAGCAGCGCTACATAAGTAGGCGGCGGCAGGTTGTGAAGTTGAAGTCGAAGTGAACAGGCGCCTGTCTTGCAGCTTATTTCATAGTACGTTCCTGTGTACATGATCATTTCTCTTCCTTCTCCGTGTAGGTAATCTTGCTCGATGTTTCGTCATGAGTACTTAATCCCAATTTAAGCTCCTTGCCGAGCTTGCCTAACCCCAACTCTAACCTGTTGCGGCTGACTTGTCTCTTGACCCCTTCCTCCTGACGATCGTCTGCATCAACAATTCCTGTTGTTACATTAGTGGACATCATTAGCACTAACGGCAGCAGGTCGAGATAAGCCCCCCATGTCTATTAAGGCAGCACCGGCATATAATGCTATCTTATTTCTAACGAGACTACCTCCCTCGCATTCTGAACAAGGTATGGTAGTCGTTGGGACTCACTCATATTACGAGCCGCAAAGCGCAAAAGCTGGATCATCAATCGGAATGTATGTTTTAAGACTCGAAGTTCTTTCCAAAATATATCGAATTACTACCATCACAACTACCGGCTACCATACCTACGTACTCCATGTAAAAGAACCACCGAATTTACTCCATTCACCAACAACCAACCAACCAATCAACCAAACTATAAATCAGATCTTGCCGCTCACCCAGCCCGCCCACGCTACCTACCCTTTCTTCCTTTCCTTTCCAACGTATCTAGAGGTATCCAATATCTGTCCCAACCGAGATACCTATTCCCAAATCTACCGTCCCGTCTCTATCGACCCTAGACAGTGTTTTCCAACAAGACTGCTGCCGCCGCCTCCATCAAGACAAGACGCACATCTCACACTCTCACACTCAGACCCACATCCACACTCACACTCGCAACTCACGAAGTCTCCATCTTCAAAAACATGTCAATCTCCGCCATGCCCTCCGTCTCCAACACATCCATCAGCTCATCCTGCTGTTCCTGGCTGAGACTTCCCTGTCTCTGATCAGACCAGTGCGTAGCCCAGACGTTGTTCATGTTACCACTGTTGTTGTTTGGCATCATTCCTCCTCCTCCTATGCTACCACCGCTGTGAGGTGGTGGTGGTTGAGCTCCCCATGGTACTCCTGCTCCCATACCCGCCCCTCCAGGACCAGCGCCAACGCCGTTGGGGTTATTATGGTTGGTGTTGCTGTTATTGGTAGCCCAAGCTGGTCCCCATCCATTGGAAGTAGGCGGTGGGCCGCGGTTGAGCGAGTAATTATCGCTGAACCGGGTAAGCCAGAGGCCAAGGCCGGGGTTGAGCATGACGTCGTTTGCGTTTCCGGAGAGAGAGATGCTGCCTCTGCTTGAGGAGAACGTGTGTGGTGAAAGGAGGGGTGGCGGGGGGTTGAACCAGGCTTGTTGGGCTGTTGTTGTCGGTATTAGCGGCGGTGCTGGTTGGGGGAGGGGCATCGCTGGGCTGGGAGCGAGGTGGTAGGCGGTTAGGGGCTCAGTCGTTATTGGGAGCGTGTTGACGGGGATGTGTTGTAGTGGTGTTGGCGGGAGGGTTGTAGGTGGGTTGAATGCTCCCGGCATGGCGATTGGGGTGGAGGGGTCGGTTGGGGGTGATATCGACGGTTCGAAACGGCCTGATGGTGGCCCTTGGGCGTCTACCGAGGCATTGTGGTTAACAGAGGTGGTTTCGGGCGCCCAGTTCGAGAGACGGCGGCCGGGATCCGTCGAAGGACTTCCAAAAATCGAGTTGGAGCGGAACATGGGTTGAGAAGGGCGGAATGGAGAGTTGTGAAGATCTGTTGGTGGTTCCTGCTCGGGAGTGCCGTCGAAAACATAACGAAAGCTGGGTGCCCGGAAAATTGGTGTCCCCTTGTCCTGAGGCGTTTGCGTTATTTGCGGCGTTGCGAACATGTCCGGGCTGGAGATGGTGGAATTGAGCAACCCAGGCTGACCAAATCCATTCGCGTTGGGCAAATGCTGAATGCCTGGAGTCGGAGTGATGGGCTCTTCTTTGATGTGATAGCGGCGTAGAGAGACCGAGATCAAGACGTCGTAAAATTCCGAAACGGCTTGGGGTTCTGGCAAGAATTCGGAGCATTGATCAAATATCTCCAAGGCTGTCTCGGTGATATCCTTGACTTCATCTGCGGAGTGATCGGCTCGAACTTCGGCGTATGAAACGGACCACAGCAGAGTACTCAACGCCGTGTGGATTGTCGAAAGAAAAATGTATGTGATGTCGACGGCCGATGCCTTGATTTGTGTGCTTGAAAGCTCGATGACTTGGCGGGACGCGTCGTAGCACTTTGCGGCGGCTGTAGCAGATGGGTCTGGTATTTGCGGCGATGGTCGATACAGAGAGATCATCATATTGTGGAAATAGAAGGCAAACCTGCGAGTTTTAGGGTTAGCGATGGAAACAGCACATAGTGTAAAACCACGGAAAACATACAAGGTTTTGCACCATGGCTCGGCCTTCTCAGGAGCAGAATCACGCCACTCCTCCAGCCTTTTCTGCATTTTTGCAACCCAGGAATGTTCTTCACTGTTGACATTGGGCATGGTTTGCTCATACAAGACTCGTCGTATTTCGGCTTGCAAGAGAGTCATCTTGCAGAAGTGTATGGCCACCAGTTTTCTCACACAAGGAGGCCCCGATTTGATGCCATGCTCAGTAATGTTTTCATCCGAGCGGCTCTCAAAAAACTTGAGGTTGATGGCATCATGACTCTTGGAAAAGCCGTTTGGTCGTCCAGTGATGTAAGCCAGACCCAATTCGTTGTTGATGGTTACCCAAGCCAGCCGTCTTCGCATATCGAGGGTCTGCTCGTCAACCCCCGAGGAAATAGTCTGTTCGTCCACGATGTTCAGCTGCTGACAAAGCTTAGTCGCCAGTCCAGCAATGTAGTAGCCAGGTGCTTTGTAGGGGCACAAGAGGTAGTACTGAGCGAGGAGAATGATAGATTGTAGCGATTTGAGGTCTCGGGGCTGTATGACCTGCCAGAAGTACTCGGTAGCGGCGATGTAGAAACTGTCGGCAAGACCGGCGTACTGCGACGACAATTTGCGCAAACCTATAGCAAACACCATGTGCACGACAAACCTCTTGTAGGGGTCCGTGTCGCCGTCGTACACACTGTTTACGTGTTCCTCCAGGAGCTTTTCGTGGAGGATCGGTGCCCATATCTGGGCTCGCTGGATGTAGACTTCGAGAAGCTTGTCGGCTGCGGCGCGCTTGGGCAATTGCTGAACTGGAATCTCGCTGATCAAGGGGTAGCTTTTCTTGCGCCCGGTCGAGATGCTCTGCATACGGGTTGCCCTGTCGACTCGCCTCGTAACGCTTTCGGATAGCAGATTCGTAAACGACTCGGATTCCATGTAGCGCTTAGCCTCTTCCATCAATGTTCTCTGCAGGCCGACACCGCTGCTGGGCCCAAACCAGTAAGAGATCTCATCGCTAACGTTGGGTCGCACCAGGCTGCTAGATAGATCGGGACTTTGTCGGCGATCCTGTGGGTCTGCTTCATCGGTCTTGAACTGAGCGAGTTCGTCGGTAAGGCGGCGCAGCTTGTCCCGTAGCTTGACAACGTAAGAACGGCTGACCTTCTTTTGCAGGGTCGAGTCCCAGTATTCGCAAACGGCGCCTGCTCGCTCGCAGGGCATACATCGAGGTAAGGAGGTACCGCATCTGGTTTTCCGCTAGATGGGACGAAAGCTTCGGGTTAGCACGTGGTAGCACATGGTAGACCCAACAGCTGGGGGAGAGACATACCTGGCGACATCTGCAGCATGCCGTCAACGTGTATCCTAGGTTGGAGGCATCGCGGCGTTGGGGACGAGGGGCGGGAGGTCTGTGTACGGCGTGTTGATGTTGGGTCGGAAAGGGGAAGTAGGAGGGCGTAGCTTGTAGTTGTTGTTGTTGTTGTTGCTGCTGCTGTTGTAGGTGTTGCTGTGAAGATCTTCGTTCGGCGATAGAGCCCAGGGCCCGGCGGACGATCTCGGCAGCATCCATGGGCTGGGTGCTAGCTGGGCTGAAGTTTGTAGAGACAGTGACAGGCGGGGTTTCGGCTGCGGCTTGGAGTAGGTTGGTGTCGGGTCGAGTTCAAGTTGTACCACAGCTTGAGATTCCCTTTGCGCGCTCGTGAAGCATGGCGGGCGGGCGGGAGGCGCCTCGGGAGGTGTCGACAGAGACGGTGGATATATGAGCTCTCGAAGGACAAGAGTTAGGTGAAGAGGTGAAGAGGCTCTCGGTCCGGCTTGTCAAAGTGTGTTGTTTGGTGGTTGCACTTTGCACCTAGTGCAGTGATACAAGCTGGGGCTCCTCAGGCCTGTCCGATGGATGCTGGGTTAGCGTGGAATGTGGGCGGAAGAGTGGTGGTCAAGTGTGGGGGGATTCATGGCGGGCAGGGGCGGGCACGCTGACGGCGCCAGCAGGGTTCCTCGATCGGCTAGGGTACCGTTACAGGGCAATGGAACGATAGGCCTGGACCGCCTCGGCTGAGTAACATGGTAACCTCGTATGTAGACCTCGTGAGAAGAGAAGCGGTACGGGAGTGTGCAGCGAGGACGGCCTGGCGTGGCAGACCGAGGGACGAAAAGAGGGTTGTGAGAGGGCAGTTGGACGGAGGACGGCAGTGGATGGCAGAGTGAGAATAGCACAAATTCAGTCCGAGCGGCGCCTAGTGGTAGGTATTTTTCTCTCTGTACCGGCCCGATAGCCGCACTCATCTCGCATACTGCATAAAACTCAGGTTAAGGCCGAGACAGCAACTAATCAGAAAACCACCGATTTTACCAAGGTCGTTTGTTTCCACTATAGTACCTTCTCCTTGCGAAGAAAATGTCACAATCAGATCGGCATATCCATGAGACTGTATTTTTACTGCTTACAACTCCCTCTTTGGATTTCATTGAGATGGGGTCATCAGTGAGGCGTTTCTAATGCAGAATAACCCCGGTACTTCAGTTTACTTGTAGTGTACAATGGGAGCCATGTGGAGCCTAGGATGAAGGGAAAAAGAGACAGCTGCGAAACCCTGAAGATCTTGTCAAACCCTTTCCCCTTGCTGGGAACAAAACTTGACGCTACTCGTGCAGGGATGAAGCAAAAGAGAAAAACGCACAGGAATGCGCAACGGTAGGTCCCGCTCATGGCATATGTCAAACCCCCGATGGGACTTAGAATTTGATGGTGTTTTTCACAAGAAGTGGAAGCTTCAGCACGTTTTGCCCCGGTTTCTGCGTATGCCATGACTTGCGGACACGGCCGTCATAGCTGGATTGCATTACATGTGTTAAATTGAAACGATCCTTTTGTTGTTTGTATACACCCCTTTAGTCCATTCTTCATCTGTTCACAAGACTTCATATGAAAAGCACTCCTAACAAGACAGAATGACCCCCGCTTACCCCACCCCTCCACAAGAATATCTTGTACAAGAAGCTCAGCCTGTACCTGCATAGGCGCTGACTAAAAGTGTAAAATGACAGTGCAGCTGCGGGTTCATCCCACTTCATCACTCATCGTCCCATCTCTTCTTCTCACTGACCTCAACTCCAATTATCCACACTTGACCACGCTTGTCGCCTTACAGCTTATACTCTCTTTCTCTCTATATCTTTTGGTTGTCATTTCACAAAGCCCAAGACGTCATTCCACACAATGTCAACAATGTCTTTCAACTGGGGTGATCCAGACGCCGATCTCCCATCAGACTCGGAAGCGACTGAAGAAGACCTCCTCGACAACCCCGTGCTCAAAGTATCGCGCCCAGTCACAGCCTGTACAAGATGTGAGCCGCTCTGAAAACCAACACCACTCGCGCCAATATTGACAATCGAGATATGTAGGCCGGAGTGCCAAGATCAAGTGTGACGGAAAGCTTCCGGCCTGTACCTCATGCGTCAAGTTCGGTCGTGAATCCGAATGCATGCCCATCAGCGAACGCTTCATCCGAGGAAGAGAACCAAACTACGTGAGAGCTCTCGAAGCTCGGGTCGAAAAGCTGGAGAAACAGCTCCATTACGCTCGGTCGCAGATGTCCTCACAGAGCCAGCCTGGTCCTGGTCCTGGTCCTGGTCCTGGTCCCGATCCCGCCACTGCTCCCGGCCCCTTGGACCCTGGGAACGACGACGATTGGGGTCCAGACCGCCGGGACTCTCTTGATAATATCAGGGTCAACGTTGCGCAGAGGGCGGCACGCCTACATGGAGATGAAGAGATAGAACAGGTTATTGCCTCGCTAAGTTCAGTGCATGTGCTCCCACTGCATCAACTTGTCCGAACAGATCCCAACTAACCTTTGAGTTATTCAGAACAATCAATCCTGTATCCCAGGAAGACCACGAAAAGACTCGCCTGTCTCTCGCCACCATCATCCTGGCTGCTTCCACCAACAAGTTCGTGCCACAGTCCCGGTCTGTCGGACTACCGCCTTATGACAAGGCCAGTAAGATAGTCGACTTTTATATGAGCAGCGTCCACCAGCTTTACCCGGCCTTCTCGCGTCGCATCTTCAATGGCCTGCTCGAGGACATCTATTCAACAAGTCAAAGGCAGTTCACTCCAGCAGATTACTGGCTCTTTTGGATGGTTCTTGCTATTGGCTCCACAGCCCAGAGCCGACAGAAGGATGACAGCCCTTACCTAGATGGACTCGACTATCTTGCCTGTGCCTTGCCTTTTGCCCAGGAAGTCCTTTCACCAGGCAACGTCAAGCAAATCCAGTCACTTTTGCTCCTGACTCTTTACTCGACCTATGACCCAGACCACTTCGACACATGGCAGGTCCTGGGCTTCACTTGCCGTGCAATTCTCGACCAAGGCCCATTTGCAGACCCGCCTGAGCATCACGGTATGAGTCTGACCGATGTCAAACTCCGTCGAAGGATATTTCGCAGCGCCTATTCTCTAGACAGGTATTGTCTCTCTTACCTACCTAGGCTTCCCATCCAATGCAACCTATTAACCTCCCCCCCTAGAGCCATATCCCTAGCCCACGCCCGCGCCTTCTCCTTCGCCGACGACGCCATTCCCTCCGAAGTCCGCGACGCCCTCGCAGACAGCCCCAACAAGGACTCACCGACCACCGAAGCCTCGACCTACCTCTACCGCCTGCGCCGTCTCCAATCGACCTGGTATCAATCCCTCTTCCAAGGCTCGCCCTCGCACCCTTTACCCGACTCGACTGCCTTCATCTGGCGCATGTGCCATGACATGCACACCTGGTTCTCCACCTTGCCCGTCTCCCTCAACGCTTCCATCCGCCAAATGCTCGAACTCGAAATGTACTACAGCCATGTCTTCTGCATCTCGCCCGGCATCCGGTCGCCGCGTCTCTCCACCTCCGGCGAGCTTTTGATCTTCGAGTATGCCATCTCGTACATCAGCGGCCTCTGCGGCCTAGCCGATGCGCCGATCAACACTGCGCTGTATACCTTCCACGATGTCCTGCGACTATTCTTTGTCGGCACACAGCTCGCTGCCATCCTTCGATCCGAGGCCGCTGATATTCTGCTCTTTTCGCCACATACCATCTCGCACTCTGCGTCTCAGCAAGGCGGTGTCGCCCCGCCACCTCTGCCGAGGAAGAGGATCTCGGACATCAATACTACCCTTCTCAACATTGACCGGGCGATAACTGCGCTGGGACAGATCGGCAAGCTACTAGAATGGTACGGTGCTCGGTGGGAGGATGCGCTGTCGCTCGGAGAGACATTCCAGATGTATTCTCAGGATCTAATGGAGACGCTTAGGGGGAAGAAACAGCAGATGGGGCAGAGGCAGGTTCAACAAGGCCAGATGCAAAGACAGGGACAAGGACAGCCACAGGGACAAGGACTAGTACGGGCACAAACTCAGGGACCGGGTGGATGGGAGAACCACCAGGAGCAACAATTCCAACAACAACAACAACAACGCATCATCAACAACATCAACGACAACAGAACTCGGGACCACAGCATCGGCCTCAACCACCGATGCAACAACAGACTTGGCCGCCAGGCGGATATTCGTTGAACAACACCAACAATAACAACAGTCGATGATTTAGGTCGAATCTAGCTTTGATTTTTGGATTCGGTCTTCTATTTACTTGGCTTGCAAATTCACATCGGGCTTGTTGTTGTTGTGTTGTTGTTAT